GAAAATAAAAGTATTTCTAAAAGACCAAAATATCTCTACTTTATGTAATTATTGTAAAAAAATGAGGATAGTTTTGTAAAAAAATGGAGAGTTGATTACTAAAAATGAAAATGAGTCTATTGTTTTGAAACAGATGAAAATAACAAAATGAGACTATTGTTTTGAGACGGATGAAGTATTGCTTTTTGTTCTAACTCAATATACATTTTCTACTCTATCCCATTCAAAAGGATGTGTATTTAAATACTCACTTCCTCCTCAAAATTTATTCACATTCTCATTTTTTGTTCGTCATTTAAATTTATTCAATTACTATATTTAGAAAATTCAAAAAAATATATTTAATTATTATATTTTATTCAACTCTTATTTACAACAAATGCAACTTATATCATTATATTCTCTCTTCATCTTCTTGATTATTAACTAAATTTAAAAAAAGACCTCAAATTATCTTTTTAGTTTTTTTTAAAAATAAAATATTTAATTTTTTTAATTCTCATGCCAAGCCCAAATAAACTAAATGCGAGAGGACGGATGAAGTATCAATATACTTTATTTTTTACGAAAATATTAATTTTTTTACTTTTAAGGGAAAAAACATCAAAATTATTAACCGTAAAATATTAACCTCAACTTAATATACTATTTCGTTTGTCCCGCTAAAACATATCCTATTTTTAGTTAAAGTATAAATAATGATATACTCCTTCCGTCCACAATCTAATGTCCTACTTTCCTATTTGGGACGTCCAATAACTATTGTCCTATTTCATTTTTTAAACACAAATTTTACATTTTTACCCTTTATTCATTTATTACTTTTAATCTCTACCATACAATTATGGACAAATCTGTCAATTCATAACAAAAAGACAATCACCTAAAAAACCGTGCAAACATACTTTAGGACAATAGAAATTAAACGGAGGGAATAATTTTTTTATACTTTCTCCGTCCTATAACAAAGTATCAAATTTTCTATTTTAGTTCATCCTAGAACAAAGTATCAATTTCATTTTTTTAGTAACCGTACTATTTACCTAACATTACAAATACACTTACAACTTACAATATCTTACACAAATGCCATTATCTTTATATTACACATACTAATAAGATTATTTTGTCATTTCTACATTATTCCTGTTACATCTCAATATAATACTAATATTTTTAAACTATGTGAAAAAACAAATGAATATCTAATTATGAGACGAAATGAGTATATATATTTTTTTAAGTGAGAATTTGCAATCGCTACTCTTCACTATTGTACGGAAGTTCCGGCCGACTTTGTACTTTTTTTTATTTTTTATTTTATCGGAATTGTACTTTTAAAAATTTGAAATTGTGGTTGATGTCTGCATCATATTGAATGAAGAGTGGTTATCGCATTATTTTTAATGTATTAATCAATCATACGTGGACAAAATTGCATCTTATCTTATCATAACATAATAATAATAATAATAATAATAATAAAATAAAAATTAAAAAAATATAATAATAATAATAATAATGCAATTATAGAAAATGACATTGGATAATGGGATTTGGGGACGTGGTTTATTCAAGAAAAAATAATTAGAAAATTTTCTCTTTTCTAGAGGCTTGATTTTGAGTTTATTTTAATGTAATTTGTGAATAATTTTAATAAAGGTAATACTCCGTCTGTCCCAATACAATAGTCTTGTTTACTATTTTTATCTGTCCTAAAACAATAGCTTCATTTTCATAAATAACTATATCACTATAAAACTACCCCTTACTTTTTCATTATTATTATACATTTGCCACTATTTTTTACACTAATACACTCACAAGGACAAAAAAATCTTTTACCCGTATTTTTTTATTAATATAATATTAATATTTTTTAAATTTTGTGCCCAAACTATAATTTTGGGAAAAATGAAGTACCATTTTCTATAACTAACATAAAAATAGGCGTACTCAAAAACACAAAATGAACATAAATAGTAATAGTAATAAATTTTGTTTAATTGTTAATTTATGTATATTTGGAATTTGTTTGTCCAATCGAATTTCTACTGACACGGTTCATAATATATATAATATATATTTTATTCTCTTACAAAAATTTTATATTCAATAAAAGAATTACTCCCTTCGTTTCGCATATCATTCACATTTTTTATTTTCATCTGTTTTATATATTATGCTACTTTAAAAAAATGTATTTTACTTTTTAATTATATTTTAAATTTTATAATTTCTATTTTTTTATTTTTATTAGACAAATTAGTTATCTTAATATTAATATATAATTATTTATATTATATTTTAATTAATTTTACTAATATATTTTTAATTATTTACTAATCATACTATTTTTAAATTTTCATATTTATGGTAACATTGACACCATATCTGATACGAACGAAGAATTACTAAAAAAATAGTACTCTCTCCGTTCCAGATATCGTATCTGCTACACTGTAGACACTGTATTTTAGGAGGAGTGTAATTAGTAGATAATTAAAAATGTATTAGTGAAAATAATTATCCTATAATATAAATAATTATAAATTAAGATTAAGATAACTAATTAGTTTAATTAAAATTTAAAAAAAATTAAAAAATTTAAAATAAGATTAAAGTGTGTAATCATTTTTCAAAAAAGATAGTGACATGGTACGTAGGACGGACAGAAACGACAATGTGGACATAGTATCTGGGACGGAGGGAGTATTAAACTAGAATACTAACAAAAAATTAAATAAAAATCAAAAGTATTTGACTAGAAATTTCAAAAATTATTTTTATTTTATAAAAAATATCAAATTAAATAATTATTTATATTTTTTTATTATTTTAAAAATTAATTTTAAACATCATATCAAATAATTATTTTTATTTAAAATTTGTACAATCTAACTTCATTGCAGAAAAGTGTACACTTTTTTTTAGCAGAGTTGTAAATGAAAGGGTTGGATTGAATTGGAACCCACGTTGACTTGGACTGCAAGTCTCCTCCACAAAGGCCTATTTCAATTCCACGTCACCTTATGTATGTGTTTTTTTCTCTTTGTATTTTTAAAACTTATTGGATTCTATTTTTGTAAAAATTAATTTTGGTATGGAAATAATTAATTTTATTTTTTATTTATATCAAAACGGCAGTCTTATTTTTTATAAATAACTATATTATTATAAAGTTATTTTATATTTTTTCATTATTATTAAACAAATATACATATTTTTTTACTATTTATTTTATACTTACTTTTAATGTAATACTATTATTTTTAAATTTCATAGCGAATCCAAATAAAATTACTACTTCAGAATGGAGAAAATATTATTTGATAATTTTTTATAGAAAAAATTATTAAATTAAATATATATTTTTATTTAATATGTTATACAGTCTCGTCTCATATATAATGTCTCATATAAAATGTCATATGTACTAGACACAACAATTTAATATATGTGTAATTAATAAATAATTAGAAATATATCAGTAAACTTAATTATAGTACTATACAAATAATTATAAATTTAAATTTAAATAACTAATTATTATAATTAAGATTAATAATTATAAATCATAAATTTTAAAAATATGTAATTCTTTTAAAAAAATAAAAAATAACATAAAATATGAGACATCAAAAGGGAGTATCATGCTTATTATATAGTTATGTATTTATTTTTTGATTATTTTTTTAAGATCACAAGGATTATATGGTAAAAAAATTCGAAGAAAAAAATTGTTTAATAATTTAGGTTGAAGTATTATTTATATAAAATATGAAAATTATATCGAAAATATAAAAATAATATTTTATTTTGAATATTCACCATTTACGAGATAATATATATTAAATATCGTGTCAGGTAAAAAATTTAATTCAACAAATAAACTCAATTTATAGTTTAAATAATAAAGAAATCGCTTCCACAAAATAGTTAATTATAAATTGAAATTGAAATATAAATCAATTATAAATTTAATTAGATAATAAACAAATTTAAGTAATTAAGAAATGGTTGTTATAATAATGTAGTATTAAGTAGGTCCTATCACCAATTTGTGTTAATTAAATCATTAGTCTAAAAGAAAATGATGCCCCAACTAGCAATTTCTACCAATAGGATGTGTCTTTGTTTGAATATTTTTTTTAAAAAAATATAATAATTATCTAATAAAATAAAATAAAATATTATTATTATTATTATTATTGTATTTTTATACATTCATTTAGTGTTTTAAATTCTAATTTTTTTTACTTGAGATATAGAGAATCGTATCGGTAATATAAAAATAATATTTTTTATATTTATTAGTAAATTTTTTATTTGACTTTTGCATAAAAAAAATATTTTATATTGAACGATTAGTTTTGTGGTGAATACTTTCAAAATAAAAATTATAATTTATATTATTAAATTAATTAAGATAATTATGAATTAAGCCATTCAGCATTGGTGCATATTGAAAATCGTGTCCCAAATTTTTTTTGTGCAAACAAACTCGTGAAAGAACGGATTTGTTTGTTTTGATGTTTCAATTTAAGATATTATGTGGTATGAAATTATAAAAAATTATATCGATAATATAAAAAATAATATTATTTATTAATAAAAAATATAAATATTATACTATATATATATATATTGAATTAACAAACTCTAATTTATTAAAAAAGAAATGAAGTCAATAACAAACTGAAATGCAGGTCTAGGGGAATGTTAAATTCACAGCAACAATTATTGGGCTTCAAATTTGTGGAACAAATCATAATTGGGCCTAAACCCATAGGCCCAAAAAGTTTAAGGCCATGACCCAAATAACTTCAAATATAATTAATAAATATAGAAAAATATTTATTTTAAATAAATAAGTAAGTAAATAAATATTGGTTCGTTTTTGTGGCGGCTATTAGACGACGTCGGCTTATTGCTCCTTTCCTTTCGTAGTTCATTCACTCGTTTATTTGTTATTCACTCACAATCTCATTTATTTATATTTTATTTTTATTTATATTTTATTATTATTTCTACGATACGATACGAAGAAGCGTAGCGTAGAAATACCCCCTTGGAGTTGTTCTTCATCTTCGTCGTTCCCTTTGTGCCTTTTGCTTCCCTCCACTCAAATTCTCCGCTTTCTTCTTCCTTGTTTCGATTCGGAGGATCGCCTCCGCATGGTTTGAAGTGTGGGGAGTTCTCTCGCATTGATTGCCCACGGAGGAGGAACAGGGCTGGACTGGACTGGACTGGATTGGACTGGCTGTGTGCGTTCGTAGTCTATTTGATTGCTTAATGTTTAGGAGCAGCAATCTTACCGCCCGAGTTTTCGAGCGCCAGATTTGTACTCCTGCTCCTGGCACCAGTGTAGGTTTTTGTTTTTATTTATTTTTATTGATTTTTGTGTGTCTTGCTTAATCTTCACTGGTTGTTAGGGGTGCTGTTGTTGGTTGGTGTTTATGAGGGGATGAGTTGGATTTTGAGGTTTTGAATGGGGTTATTAATATTGGAGTCCGTGGCTTTAGGCTTGGGTATGATCAGTATGAAAGGATTGTGGCGTGTATTGGAGTTTGATGTGGTGGCTGTTAGGTTTGTGTTTGACGTGTTTTGCTAGTAATTGAGGTGATTTTAGCATGTAATTTTGAGGAAATGAGATTGTATTTTAGCAGGAATGGTTGTAGCTTGGATTTTGATGCTTGTTGTTCAATTGCAACGTTAGTGTGGTTTTGAGTTTGATTTTTTGCTTGTTTAGCATACTCTATGAAATATTGTAGTGTTCGTCTTCCATCCTTAACACAGGGCTGACATTGATTCAGTGGATAGGAAGGGTAGAAGTTAGCATTAAGGTCTAGCAATGTGCATAGTTACTTAGCAATTGGGTGACGACTCATCGCTGTCATTAATGTAGATAACTACAGTTGTGATGCAATTGAACTTGGGGATGTTGTACAATTATGTCGGAGTTTGTTTTGGATTTATTTGATCGTTAGGTAACATAGAATATGACGTATGATGAGTAAATTTTAATGCTAAGATGGTAGATTTTACTTTGCACCTAAATACTTTTTTATATTCTCAATGAGAGTTCTAATTATTGGTTATTATTCCAGGTTCACCGGGCCAGGCGATTTTATGAGAACTTAGTTCCAAGTCATACAATATTTGATGTTGAATGCCCAGACATTCTTTTTCGTAAGTTCAGTGATGATGGACAGTATCTTGTGACCTTCAGCAGGAATCATCAGGATCTCATTGTTTACAGGCCGACGTGGCTGTCGTTCTCGTGCCGAGAGTTAGATTGTAATAGTCACGAACTACCTGCTAAAGCTAACAAATTTGAAAGTTTCTTTTCCCAACTGTACAGTGTGACTCTCTCTTCCAGTGGTGAGCTTATATCCAAAGATTTTTTTCTCTATTCTGAGAAAAATCAATATGGACTATTTGCAACATCGACTGTACAGACTCACGGCGCACCTGCAGTTGGTGGTGCGATTCCTGGGATTCCATCAATTGAAAAGATAACCTTTCACCTTGTAAGGTCTGTATTATATTTCTCCAATTTTGAGTTTCAATTACGGTAAACTTTAAAAAATTAATCTTGGATCGGTGTTCTTAATTATATAGATTAGAAGATGGAGCGATACTTGATCAGAGGGTTTTCCATAATGATTACATTAGCTTGGCGCACAGCTTGGGTGTTTTCTTATATGATGATTTAGTGGCTATAGTGTCCCTTCGGTATCAAAAAATCCATATTCTCCAAATAAGAGACTCTGGGAACCTTGTTGATGTGCGCTCCATCGGAGAATATTGCCATGAAGATGACGAGCTTTTCCTCAATTCCAGTGCTCAGGCAAGTGGTATTTCCTCAAGCTCTTGATCATACTATGCATGATTTTTGCGGCAGTTTGTCAACCCTATAAACTATAAACATTTAATCCAACGTATGGGGTTTTGTCTCATACATATCTGTTGGTTCACCTCTTCATCTGAGATTCTTTGCATTCAAATGTGTCGAAGTATATGCACAAGTTTGATATGTTAATATTTGAACCACTAAATTATGCTATAAAGTAATAATATAAATGATTTTTATAACTATTTGTGTATGTATTTTTACATTTCTAGAGGATTCAGATTAATTACATGCCTGAAGCAGTAACTTAATGATACTTTGTCCCATATACTACTATATATAGGTAAGAGAAAATATATAAGTTATAGACCATTCTTGATTCCTAACGTTTATCTGAATATGATACTTTTGTGCGATAGGATACACACGCTTAATAGCATTATTTGTTTATCGTGAAGTATTTAAAATATTTATTTGTATCAAAGTTAACAGTACCTGGGGAATGAATAACTTTGTATTGGTTTGTGTTTGCCCACCTCTTCTTAAGGTACTTCTGTAGCAAAGTTTTCACTTGAAACTTTTTTCCCCATAAATGAGTAGCAATGAAGATTTGAACTCCAGACCTTAGAGCTGTGTTCGATGTTCCCATATTGGAATAATTGAGCAATATTAAAATGGACATTCTTAGAGAGATGCATCGATCTGTATTTCTTTGCTTTCGTTTTAATTATCTTTTTAGGGTTGTTGGTCTTGATTATGAAGACTAGGATTGGAACACTAAAAAGTAATTAACTAAATTCTTTTATGTTTCTATATATATATATATATGTATATATATATATATTCCATTTAATGTATGATGTTGGGAATTTATACATATCTCAAGAACAGTTTTATATTGATCACAGTGTATCTCAATCCCGCAGAGAAATAGAACACACAGTATCGGGAATGGATTAAATCCTAGCCAGGATGCTCCAGCAGGTTCATTTCTGAGTGGTTTGAAGCAGCGCTTGCTTTCTTATATATATCAAGGAATATGGAATGAGGAAGATGATCCAGCACTAGTAAGTCATATTGCGGTTGATCCAACACGCAATAAGTTTGTTTCTTTGTTTGTGTTCTCACATATGTCTTACTCTATTCATCTGGTTTTTCCCCTTAAAAAGATCACCGAACAAGTATATTTCATTTGTAATATTACATAAGAAACTATTTTCATTCAAAACATTCATCAGATACTTATTTCAATTTAAATTTTTACTATTCTCAAATCAGTTCAGTCCGACTCTTTGAATGGTCTATGCTCGCCAGTATTTACAATTATTGTTGCAGTTAATGTATTAAAATTTTTTTCCTCTAGTCATTCTGACAACAGGCTAATAGTTTAATGTAGAAAATTTATCCTCTCTCTATATGTGCCTCTCTCTCCCCCTCTATATATATGTATTCTTTTCTGTGTAGTTGGGATTAAGTTCTTATTAATTCACATAATTTTTGCCTTTTAAACTTTCTTTAAAAACATCAAAGGTACTTATGTCATAGCAAAAATAATTTCATCTCCATCCAACTTTTCAATTGTTTCCTTTCATTTTTGGAACGAAACAGTTGAGGAAGGTATTTTCCTTTAAAGAAAGATCTTGAAGTAACTACTAAGAACGATCTCCTACTTTTGTCCTCTTTCTAAGCCTAGGCTTTTTGTGAGGTGACAAGAGGAGAGAGAAAAGTTACCTTTGAGAATTTAGTCCCAGGGAATCATGAAGTTTCAATAGGCAGCTAAGGCATTTGAAGATATAATTATAATCCCGAGGGAAATCATATGGCAGTTATTGGGAGATTGCAATGTGGTGAAGTATGAGTGTTTTATTAGAACAATGTTTTGTTTATTGATCAGGCACTTTATGTTCTGGTAATTACTTTTGATTGCAATGAATTTCCACACAACTTTGAACAACCGATCAGTTTTAGTTATGGTTTAAAAAGTATCAATTCTTGTGTGTTATATAATCTTTGTTACCAGAGGATGCAATGCCTGAAGAAGAAGTTCTATTTTAATTTCCAAGATTATGCTGATTTGGCTATCTGGAAGGTACAGTCTAAACCCTGCTTTATTCATATAACGCACGATAATGTACATTATTCTTTCATTTACTTAGGGCTTGTTCTTTTACTATTTTAATCCAAAAATCAATAATATTCATTTGACACAGTTTCCAATATAAATATAGTATTTCTTCTCACAAAACATTACATCAAAATACTATTTAAAACAACAATCAGACGAATCCTTAGTGTCCATTAAATGCCAATTACTTCTACTCAGTAAAACATGAATGGAAACAATAAAAAACATGAATTACATGGTTCAAAGACCGCTTATTTTTATTATGCGTATATATTTTTGTGATATAATTTTCCTTTTTAGTTTACTCTTTACCTGTAATATATAGTTATTCTATATATATCTTTCCTTCCGTGCACAAACATCTTATTTTTACAAATAGATCATTTCATTGTGCAGGTGCAATTTCTAGACCGGCATCACTTATTGATCAAATTTGGCAGTTTTGATGGTGGAGTGAGTTACTTCTTTTCATTACCTTTTACTGCCATTGCCTCAAATATATTTACTTCATTTGTCTGTTCAATTTATTCACTTTTCTTTATCATCCATCCGTTAAATTTGATCCATTATTTATTATGGTGAAGACAAAACTTCCATTTTACTATTGATTTTTATTTAATACTTATTCACTACAATTGCTACTATAAATTATTACACTATTTTCGTTTGTTCTCTTCATTTTCATGAATACCTCCAACTATTTTTTAACTTTTCTCCCTTTCATTTTCCTTGGATCTCCATCCTGACCCCAATGTGGGTACTTTTACTGGACGGAGGGAGTATAATATTTTAGAAGTTATGGGATTTTAGGGTGTGTTCTTTTACTAAAAAACACATTTTCCCAAAAATACATTTTTAAAAAAAAATTAATATATTATACATACTTATTATTTTTATATTACTTATACAAATTATTTCACTAAACAAATAAACCCTTATTCTCTTTGAGGTTTTTGTTTTTTCAATTATTTAGTATACAATCTTGTAATTATTTTTCATCCAAAATATTAAATCTAATAACTATTTCGCCTCAAAAACATTAAAATCCAAAATATAAACTCACAAAAACAAAAGCCCAAACGCCTTCTTAAAGTCTAGCCTTGTTTTCTAGACGAAAAAAGAAAAAAAACACACAAGGGATTTGTTTGTTTTGTGAAATAGGTTGAACTGATATATGTTTATATGAAGTATAGAGAATTGTGTAGGTAATATCAAAATAATAAATGTGTAATATATTAATTTTTTGGGAAAAATATGTGTTGTTTTTTACAAACAAACGAACCGCTTGTTTTCTTGACGATTGCTCCCCTGCAAATCCGATATCCTTACATTTTTTGGCAGAAACATTCGGTATTCATTAGTTTGCTATTTATTAACTTTGTTGTCGTTGCAGGTGGCTCGGAATACAGATAATCATCCTGCATTCTTTGTTGTATATAATATGGAGACAACTGATATTATTTCATTTTATCCGGTGTGTTCTATATCTCTTACTAACAGCGTTAATGCCTTTTTTAACTGTTAATTGATGCCTGTTATCTGTATTGTCGATTTGATTTGTCGTTAGTATTCTGAGTTGGAGAGGTTACAATTCTGTCCTCTTCGACTCATAACTGCATCTGTGTCTTACTTCTCAGTTTTTTGCCTCACGTAGAACTCAGCCGACGAGCTATACACACTGTTCGAGCTATTCTCCGACCACTTCCATTCCTCATCGAAGAATTCATTTTACATGAACTTCTTGTCGACTCACTCAAACAACGTATACGCCCAGGATCAGCTACGATGCAACAAAACCAAAGCTAGCAGCTTGCCGCAGGTATTTCTTCCCATAATATAAAACAGACTTATACACGTATCTATCTATTTATTGTTGGTCGAGCGGTTTCCGTAATTGCTGGTTATACCCAACAATGTGATGCAATGCAGTTCGTAAAGAAGATGCTGTCGGCTTTGCCGTTCAATTGTCAGTCTCAGAGCCCTTCCCCGTACTTCGATCATTCCCTCTTTCGATATGATGAAAAGGTTCGACTGTCTATTCTACCTTTTAGTATAAATTTTATAATATGTTTTATTTATGATATAAAATTTTCTGTGTAAGTATTATACAAATTGAAAGAGTAAAATGTTTTCAGTATATTTCTTTGAACAAAATAAGTAAATGAAAAATTGATCAACTCTTTATTTTGCAGTTTGTATAAATTAGGTCACAGCTTATCTTCATTTCACAAACTGTGAAATGAAGAATTATATATTTATTTTTTAATTTTATTAAAAAAAGAATATTTAAAACATTTTACCCCATTTGTTTGTATAATATTTTATAATTAGGTGCGTCGTTACGACCAATATCCGCTTTGCATGGTGAGGGTTTTGTGCATATTTTAAATAATATGAGGAAATTTTATGTCGTCAATAAAGCATGAGCGGTGTGTTTCTTTTGTGAGATTGTTGAAAAATAAATTTTGTTTTTTACGTAAGGTATAGAAAATTGTATAGATAATATATAAATAATGAATGTGTGTATGTAATGTATTAAATTTTTTAAAAAATGTGTGGAAAGAAATAATAGAAAGTACAAAGATGCATGTATAATAAAACACAGACAAGTATTATGCAATGTACTCACCTGCCTATCACCACTGCGATAATTGTAATGCCTTTCCTCAACTTTACTTTGCAGCTGATTTCCGCAACTGATCGACACAGACAGCTGACGGATCACCCGATCAAATTCATTTCGAGGAGGCATCCGAATGTACTGAAATTTAAGATCAAACCAGGTAAATAAAATCTAAAATATTTTTATTTCAGCGGTGTTGGTTCTATTTGTTGTTAATTACTAACTAGTACGGTTTGGTTGCTGGTAAAAAAAAAAAGGACCAGAATGCGGGAACAGTGATACCGGGACAAAGAAGTTCTCGTCATTTCTATTCCATCCTATTCTACCGCTAGCAATCTCTGTCCAACAGACGGTATTTTTGCAGCCGGCCGTCGTAAATATTCATTTCCGTAGATGATTATGATATATGATATGATAATTTAATTCTTTGCTTTGGTTGCAATGCAATGATTTTAGGTACATTTGATTTGAGCAATGTACAATTCGATGGATGGATTACTAATAAATAAGGGACATATTCATACATATATATATATATATAATATTGGATTTGGCATTCATTCATTCATTCTTGAATGGTTCCTTATGCTTATGTATTGTTAGTTTATATGTCTATGTTTCTGCCAATATTAAAAGAAAATATTGTCAACACTTGCACAGAAACATGCTCCTCAAAGTATAGGTAAACAAAGTTTGTGTTTTTAGATTAATATGTTTTTTATTTATTTTATAATTAGATATGAAAAGAAAATGTGTTGATAAATAAAAAGTAATATTTTGTATTGGATTATTAACTTTGCGAGTAGATAAAATATATAATGTATATATATATATATACTTTTTAAAAATAATATTTAAAAAAAATAGGTGCCACCCAGAATCAATAACCAAGTGAACAAACTTGTTATATCTAGCAACATTTTAGATCAAAGTTTAGGTAAATTCTATTTCAGTTAAATGACCTAAACATATAGGTAAACATACTCTATCCGTAATATATCTATTTACATTTTAGATAAAATTTTAGGTCAAATACATATATATAAGAGAAACAACCTCAACCTAAAACAATAAACAAACAGTCCCAATAATCTAGAGAATAAAAATAACAATCCCAAACTTTGCAAAAACTTAGCAAAAATTTCATCTCTAATATTCAAGACAGAATGGCATAGAATAATCATGCATAGTCCAAGAAACTGCAAGATTCCGGCCCCCCCCCCCCCCCTCTCTCTCTCTCTCTCTATTTTGATATAAAGTCTACACATTACTTACTACTACATTGTGTCACAAAAGAACTTTTTTTAAAAAAATTTTACACTAAAATCAGTTGATTGATTCGAATGTACGTTTTGTGATATTGATGTCAGTTGATCTTGGCCTTGGGTCTTCTGGGCTTCAACACAAACCACAGTACAAATGCAACAACCAAGAATGCCGGGATTGTCGTCATGTCCAACTCCACTTGGACTTTCCTCTGCCGAGTGCAGTGGACAGGGTGGAGGCTTGCTGTAGTCGCGTTCACATAATCCGCAAAGCTGTAGAAATTAGAATTCAGAGTGTTGTTATTGAAATATTTATCTTGCTTGCACGACCACACAGATATAATTATAGTAAAAATGAGCGCGCGGGGCTAACCTTTTTGATGCCTCTTCTAGACTGTTGAGCAGTCGCAAGGCATCTGAATACCGAAGCTCTCCGGTGACAGTTGAAATCTGAATGCAACAAAATACAACCAAATCGGAGTTTTTAGCAACTATATACATATATTTCGCGCAAACATGATGAAATTTTTAGCAGCAGTGCTTACTCGTCTCCAGAGGCCAACGACGTGGTTGTACTTGATCACCAGATCACGCTCGTGGGATAGAAAGAGCTTGAATGTCTGTGTCGCTGATTTTCATTTAGCGTCAACAAAATGTGGTAAAGAACAGCAAACTCAAATGCAAGAATTGGTCAAGTTAATCGAAATGTACCAAGAAAATGTGGAATACTCAGACAACTTCGCCTTATTGGGATTAGGAAACGATATTATAAAGTACTTCTTTATGGGTTTTTCGATCCATTTGAGGAAAAATGATTATTTTCAAGAAAATAATTTGGCGTTTAATTTTCTTTGCATAAGGTTTTATAGAATTCACCGAGCACATAATACCATGGAAAAGGATACATGTATGCTCCGTGGCAAGACGGCGTATTGCTGAGTTCACAGTTTGTATAGATTCTTCAAGAGCTGTGAGTACGTAGCTTCTAGCAATGGTGTCCGACTGGAACTGGGAAATCCGCCAGCCTTGGGAGGTGACAGACAATGGATTACAACCCACCGACCATACCCAATCCTGTTGCAAAATCAATATAAAAGTTTTAGAATAGCAGTAATGACCGACCACGCAAATAGTTTTTATCCCAGCTATGGTAGTCGATAAATTTCAGTGCTAATAAACTGAGCATGTAATAATGAGGTACAACACAACCTAATGATGGCTTAGCATAAAAACCGAGCACAGTCAGAATCACAAAGTCAAGTGAGAACAAACAGGACCATATTCGTCCATGGACCGTTTTACATGTAACAAATAGAATAGTAGAAATAAAAATTACACAGAAAGGAGAATATGATACAAATTAACATTTACAGATAAAGTTTATACGTATAGGTAGGCCAGAAAATACTGCAGAAATTGTAACCTCAGAGGTGATTTTGAGATTCAAGTTCAGAAGGAAATACCAAAAAACAAAATATTTCCGCACATACATAAAAGTCAAGAACACCAAAATCGTTACTATCATAATGTAAACAAACAAATACTCATGATACAAATTAACATTTACTGATAAAGTTTATATGTATATTCCGGAAAATAATGCAGAAATTGTATCCTCAGAGGTGGTTTTGAGATTTAAGTTTAGAAGGAAATATCAAAAAACAAAAACATTTCCACACATACATAAAAGACAAGAACACCAAAATAGTTACTATCATAATGTAAGCAAACACATAATCATAGATTTTGGTAGTCCACTTTCTTTCGATGGAAGCAGCTAGTTTATGTAAGGCTGGGACTACGATAGCTACGGTCATGGTGAATGAAATAACCTCAATGGCAGTTTCATGGGCTTGGCTGTAGACAAGGTGAAGAGGAACCAACCCAGCCAGATGTTCAGATACGGCAGCCAGAGCAGCTTTTGTGGGCCTCCTATACAAACGGAAAAAGTGAAATATAACCTGATGTGATTAATCGTCATTACAAGTTACATAATAAATAGAATATATATAATTTTATAAGTGAAGGAATCTCAGAAAAAGATACATGACAACCAATTTTCCCGGAAACTGGGGTTTGTTCTCTTGGAAATTTTTTTCCCATTCTTTTTATTATTTAATCTTTCCATTTCCTTTCAAAAACAAAATTATATTCAACATCCATTTTACATACAAACATTGCATTCAATTAACATTTCACCTCAAAACATCACAATCTAAAAAAAACACACACACAAAAGGCGCAAAGTGTACAAGCTGTAGTTGAAAGACCTGTATGTATGTAGTAACTCAGAAAACCAAATAAGGGAGTTAATTATATTAATTCCTAGCATGTATGACAGCAGAACGTAGCAACAATAATAATAATAATAATAATTGCATGGAACATAAAGTCCAGTAATTCACATCACCCACCAAGAATATAGGCTCTGTTCTATTTGAGTTGATTTATTTTTTTTTTTGGCAGATTATTTACTATTGATATAAAGATGCACTATTCTTCTTACAAAATATCATATCCAACTAATATTTAAAAACGTCAAGCACAAGCACAAGCACAAACACAAATCCAAACCAAACACACCCTTAGTGCGAGGTAGAGAAATGAGATTTCTTTAAAAAAACATCAGTACCAACAATATGATATAGAGGAGTAAGGGGCTGCATTCACATTATCATCACTTATATTACTAACTAAAAGCATAATCATTTAACCTTAAGTCCCACAGTAGTGATCGTCCATTGCATTGCAGATGGCTCTCCCAGGATGCCGGCTCAGACTGAACAACCACCACCATATCAGAGAGTGCTTTTGCCTGATAATGCTTGTCGACCAACAAAGCATCACCGTGAATGAACCAAAAAATGGGAACTTCCAGTGTTGACCTGCTATGTGCATGCCAGCCTGCATCACCAAACATAGGCATTACCTATATAACAGATATCCAGAAATCTAGGATTTAAAACATAAAAAAACTTCTAGGAAAGCTGCAAACTCTAAACATAAAATTCATCTAAGTCTAGTAAACAAAGTATATGAATTCACTAAAACCCAGAAAAAATATTAATATAAAGTAGTTAGCTGATTGTGAATTTGTTACACTAAGTATCACAAGCATAACACCAACTACTCAAACAGGAAACCATGCATTCGATCATTTTGAGGCAAAATCCACTCTGAGGTACACTCAACTCAACTTTCTTTATGTATACGATGAATTCAGCAAGAGATCTGCCCAATAAGAGACATTCCATAGACACTGAAGCAAAACATAAACTTTTTTTAAGAACGTATTAAAAAATCCCATATGTGGCACATGCAAGGTCCCTGGGACATACCTTTCAAAGAAGCATGGTCATGTAGCCTCTGCAATTGATGTTGAAGAATGGAAGAATCAAGATAAGAGCGTACAGTTTTTCTGTAGGTTCCATTCACAAGTAATAAAGGAACGGCAGCTGCTCTCCTAGCCACTGAAAATGCCATTGCCAAAGCAGGATCTTCAGACAGTGGTAACCTATGAAAAAAGGTTGTCAATTAAATAAGGCACCGGTTTTTCCAATGATCAATATTCAAATTCACACACATGCATCAGTAACAATAAAGCAAGTATCCTGCACCAGGTGTAAAACACCAACAAACATGTTCAGACGGTCACTGGAACCTTTGGGTTAAAAGATTCGGTACATCAAACTAGAGAAATAAGGGATTTCTATATTTCACATGAAACATCAACCATACCTCCGACAAGTTCCTGAAAAACAAGCCGTGCAAGAAAAACAGTTTCCAGAAAGCACTAATAAATTTCCTAAACTTACATAGAACCAACATAGATACTGGCATGACAAGTTCATTTTCAAAAAATAAAAAATGGTGGTCAGAACTAGGTAAAAAAATTAGAAATGTTATCTTTGATCTACTGTCAAAACAACATGATAACAACATATGTCAATTGACCACATAAAGCTTCATGATATGGTGAATGTGGGAAGGAGAAATGCTCTCTACAGATCAAAGTGGTGATCATATATCACTTGAAACAATCCAAAGAGAATAAATAGATGGAGGACATACATGTGTGGACTGAACTGAACTTTCTGAGAAGGTAATACCAGAGATTCGAGTCCTTCCATGAGACTTTTAAGATCAAGAGGTAACTGCTTAATATTGTTTACTTTCTGAAATGAAACCAGAAGGAACATAAGTTGCAGACAAATCTATCAACATCAAAATACTATAATATCCAAATATGCACCTCTTGTGTGATGACAAACAACTGAAAGGAGATTTTATCATAATAGTGGAATGCACCATCAGCAAGAGATGGAGAAATTGTGTGTCTTAATGACCCCCAAAGTGTTGCCCCAAGATGTGAAAGGAAAGTATCTCGTGCAACTGTGTAATTATGAAATTCCTGCACAACCCAACTGTCATTACTAAAATAATTTGGTATCCAGCAAGAACAAGTATAGAATTTATGCAAACTGAAATGAGGCACAGGACCACAATTATCTGGCATCCAATATATAATGAAAAAACAAACCTCAACAGTATCACTGAACAAATTCCAGTTCTCCATGCGTTTCAATGCATCAACAGCCTTCCGCTTATGGCTTTCATCGAATTCCCCATCCTCATAAGACTGAAGCTCACCTTTCAAATCTCTCATCCGCTCATCAAGCTCTGTTATCATGTCACAGTAATAATAATAGAACATAATGAGTCAGAGAAAACACCAAAGCCAGACAACTTAGTGGTCATACATCAATCATTGTGGGGAAGTGCATTCAACAGCACAAATTATCACTGGCTGGCCTATTACTTCAAATGCGTTTTAAATGAGAACTAGAACCATCAATGAAGAATTTAAAAGAAACCAAGAAAGCAAAACATCAGTAGGAGATAAGAAGGAGAAATTGTAGCATAAATTCATCACCTTCACAAAGTGCAAGCTTGACCTTCCTCCCACGGCAATGTTTGAAAACAAAGAGCTCATATATGTCTATTTCAGCTAGAAGAATATCAATAGTATGATGGTCATTCTGTAAAGAGATGATAAACTAGGGTCAAAATTTCAAGTAACAATAATATATCACTAAGTCTTAGATCCAAAACAAGAAATTGGGATAGGAACACAATTATAGAGCATAAGCGATTACCTTGGGCAAACAGAGATTTCTGAAAACAATATGGAAAATCAAAATAAAGATAAATACTCACTTCACTAAATACTGAAAATTTCTCTTGAATAGCCTCTTGTAAGCGATCTTCTGCTTCATCCTCTGACATTTCTGGGTGCGATAGGAATATTATAAGAATGAAAGCCATGATGTGAAAGGTAAATATCGACAATCTTAGGAGTTTATCCATTAGTACTTTAGTAGACAGAAAATATCTTGAAACTTTTAAAATCTAATAATCATGCATCACTAGCGCAATTTAATTAGTTCAATAGATAACATCTCATTAAGCATAATTGCATTTGACTAATACCTGCAACTGCACCTATAGTTTTCTCAACATTGGGTAAGCTTTGTTCTGTGCGTACACCTTCTCCGCCAACTGATGGTCCCCAAGAAAAAGGACCAGCAGTTAAGTCGATAAATGCCCACCTGATATAATCCAAATTTCAAAACAATTAATACAGTAAGGCTTGCCAACGATTGAGAGTATTGTTACTCAAAATGGAGAGGGGAAGGGAAAAGAGATTGTTAACCTATTATTTCCGATCCATGCATCAGTGAGGCATTCAGCATTAAGGCCACTGAAGTCACCAGACTTCAAATCTTTCTCTAAGTAAAGTTTCAAATCACCATTCGTCCCCTTCAACAACTACAAGAAATTTTAGAAGATCAAACAAGGATGTAATCATCGTAATCAATCCGAATCACAACTATGCAACACTGCATCATTCAAGACATGCGCTAAGTAATTTCCTAGTACAACCATTGACAGTTACCTGCAAAACCTTGCTCTGTATTATATCAGCTGTATCTTTCCCTCGATATAGGCCCTCAACATTGTTTATCGCATCTTGACATCTATTATGCCACTCTATCTGTGTTGTTTTCCAAAGAAATCCAGGAAAAAAACAAGGCACGTGAAAATGATGACACAGAAATCCTAATATTGTGCATAATGATGGAAGAAAAGAAGCAACAATAGTCACCCAGCTGTTGCACAATATTAGTTGGTAAAAAGAACCATATAAGTAAAAATAGAGGAAGTTCACATCAGAGGGGGGGAGAGAGAACGCACCGTGTCAGTCTCCTCTGTTGCAGTCCAGGAAAATTTTGCCATTGGATGTTTTTCATACAATGGTCTCTTGATTTTGTCAAGAGCTTACAAAATCATCAAATGTATAAAATTAGCAACAAAAATTATATGTTTCTCATCTTAAGGAGGAGATAAGAGATCCAAAAAGAAGATTACACACCAAGAACACTCTCTGGAATACTTCCAGACTGCAGGATTTTAGACTGCAAAGCCTTATTCTGCACAAATTGATTCAAGGAAAAATGAACTAAAAAACATACAATGAAAGAAGAAAGAGAATCCTAATTCTTTCACATAACAGACATCTTGAACTGGTAGAATCGCTTGGCAATCACCTTTTACATAGAACTTCATTATAAGAACTTAGAAGAACAAGGGAGCAGGAACATACCTCTTTAAGAAAGTTTATTTCACTCTCAGATAAGCCTCTCCTGCAGTACACAATCCAAGTAAACCAACACAACAGGGTCATAAAAAACAGAAGACCAATTCATGCAAGATAGCATTATACAGTCAAACAGTGAATATTATGTTAAACAGCTTGAAAGACTTTACAAAATAAAAAAGCATGTTGCATCCATGTAGTAGATATGCTACAAACAAACAAGATGCAATCTTTCACATGATAAATAAATATAGAGAAGACATCATCAAATATATTTTTCTATTCTAAGAAGCTATAACAAAATATATAATACAAAAATATCCTGCAAATTTAATCTCAAGTACCAATCAGGAGTTATGTCATGCATACAATGGTACAAAGGATGAAATAGGTCAAAATGACCTCATTTCTTTTTTCACAATGTGCTGCCTCTACCATTTTAACTAATTTTGGTTAGGCTACCATTGAAGGCGTGCATTAAAAAAATAATAAAACAAAATAATAAAAAATAATAATAATAATAATAATAATAATAATAATAATAATAATAATAATAATAAATGATTAATGCATACCAATTCAATGGGCTACACAAATATGCCTGAATAAACATGAGAAATGACTTGTGTCAAGAGGAAGATCTCTTTTAGTTCATCAATTCACATTGTTACGTATTTTTGGGATAATTTATCAGGATATGAATGATAAAGCTTTTAAAGAGGAGATTGTACTAATATTGGCATTGATTGCTTCCCCTATGAGAAATTGTAGAAGTGATGGTGTATAAACCAAGTGCCTATTAAATATCTTATCAATAAGAAAGGAGGAATAACCCTAATTCATAAAACATCACAGCATTAGATGTTTTGCTATCCAAACTAAATCACCTACATCTCCACATTTTTTCTTCTATTTACTATTAATTATCATTATTTTTTCAGTATCAGAAGCCCATATTAGTAAATTCAGTCACGAGCCAGTACACTGAAACCAACACCTTCAACCAGAACAACCACTATAAAGCATAGGGACCTAATAAAATTTCCCATAACCATAGGTCTTGACTAAATACATCCCTGATCTGATTTATTACTTTATTACTCATCCTATAGTATGTTTAAAGAAAAAATGCCATTTCCCTTTGAAAGGAATATAACTTTGAGACATTGATGGATTATTCATCATCAACCACATTGCCAAAAAGAATCTGGATGGCATAATATATTGCTTAAACCAGTTTATAAAGCACAACTTAAGTTGGAAAAATAGTAATGAAACTCCTTTAATTGGACATGAGAAGATAAATATGGAAGGTATTGATTTATATTTAATATATGTATCATATATAGATAAATAATGCTGAGAATTATATATTCAACTTTAGATCCACAAAACAAAGTAGTTAAGATATAATCCCACCTAAGAACAAACATCTTATTATCAAAAAGTGTCTTGTGAAAAGAAATGTTGATTTTCGCGCATTAGATCAATATATATGACTATGAAAAAAGAGTCTCAAATACACAATTAAAAGGTGCGGGACCACTTAACGTGTAACTTATGTTTTCTATCACCACATATGATAAAACAAGCATTTCAAGAAGGGATTAACCAAATACACCAAGATCAGTTTCTTTCATCAACCATCATAGACAATGAAATGCAATTTCAAGAAAGCATACCGGTAGCCATATTTAGTTATTTTTGGATCACGCTTTGGATTCAAAACAAAAATGTTGTATGCATCTTCCAATTGTAAATAGTCCACAAGGCTGGTGAAGACAACACCCATCATATCTACATCAACTTGCCAAAGACCCATCCCATCATCCCTTTGACAAAAGAAAATGAAATACAAACAATGAGCACAACACATCAAAGCTAAATATGTCACATATGTTTCGAATGTTTGTCTACTTCATGGAAAATACCAATACCTTGTTCCAGTTACATCATCCTTACGTCCAAACACATTAATGGCACGCTCAAATATGGATGTGACTTTTTCATTCATTTGAATGGCATGGACAGAAAAGCTACAGATTTGTTTAACAAAAAGATAGATTAGCCAAAAATAACAACAATGAAAGTGATTCCAAATTTCCAAGATATACATAACATACAAGAAAACTTAAAATTAAAAGAATTATATAAGCAATGAGATTAATACTTGTAACTTATGTGACTGACGAGTGGAAGATGGTGAGGTTGCTCCCGATCTACACTTATCTTGTAAAATGGTGTCAGAATCTCTCCAATACTTGGAATCCTCGTTTGTTCAAATATATGATCAATTTTTGTGAACCAACGCTCCAATTCTTCAGCATTTAGCTTAAATTCTGGATCGGTATTTAAGGAGATTAATTTCCACCCTAGTCTAAAAATAACAAGATGATGGAAAAGGAGATATTATAAATAAAAATGCATAGCATCTCCTCATACCTCTGTTTCCTTTTCCTTCAAATCCGATAAAAATAAAGTTTACTGGCACTGGAAGGTACATTGAATCAACTTCCAAAAGCTTCATATAATTTGCAATATTTCCTGAAACAAAAAATAAAGAAATGGACCTAAGAACTTAATCATGTGTTTTTAAATCCATATTGTTGTTAATATGTGATATTGGAAAAAGCAGGAAATGTAGAACAAAAATCTCGCAAAAAGATTGAGCAACACAAAATTAAGTAACAAATGGCTTCTTAATCATAAATTCATAAAACTCAAAGGGCATAATAGTCACAGGTCAATCTAATTGAACCTAATTCGAACACATAAGAGTTCAGATATACAGTAACAAGTACCTGCCTGGGTGTAGTTGATGGCATTGGATTTGTCCACTCCATGTGCTTCCAAGTCATCGATGTCTGTGTTCAAATTCAACCCCAATTACAATGAGGTGAAAATATAACATTAAATGTATGTGTGTGTATATATATATATATATATCATAACCACATTCTTCATATCCCAAGCAATTATTGAATAAGTTAACACGCCCCAACACATTATCATATCTCATACCATTGCGCATCACAGACTCGCTCCAGAATCGACTTTTCTGCTTTAGATTGAACAAAGAAAACACCGACGACTTCCCACTTTTACGATTGCCAGGCGGAGCCCCATGCGACCTATCTCCTAATAACTGGAATTAAACCAAAATAGCAACAACAAATAAGAATTTGTCAGAACACCGCCATTTCCGCACCTTCTACGTAATTTATCAGAGTTCTGAATTCCACCAAAAGCATTAACTACACGATTATAAACCAGCAAGCAACGAAGAGACTGCCTCTCGGAGCGTGCAGATTTAACAAGTCCAGGAAACTTAAGACGCATCAAACAGAACGGTAAGTAAATGACTTACCAAGAGAGAAATCAATATTGAGAAGAGGAAACGGGAGATCGAATTGGATCTCCACATCGAGTGAAAGAGCTGTGGATGGCCGATGGAGCAGCGACGGTGGAATGGAGTTTTGGGCAGAAGGAAGGCAGGCAGGCAAGAGTGTGGGGGAAGAAGCGACTTGAGAAAGACCAGAGCTTCGACACACACCAGTGACCAAACGCAGAAGGTCCGGGTCGGGCCGGATCCAATCTCAGGTATTTGAGGTATTTCATGGTATTTTAGGTATTTTAACACTTTTGTTAAATTTCGTAAAAAATAATAATAATAATAGTATTTTATTGATTTTTTAATAAATTATTTATTTTATTTGTTCATCGTAATAAAATATTTATTTATTTTTAATTATTTTTATATTATACAAATATTATTATCTTTATATTATATCTTATATTAATAAGTATGAGAGGGTGAGAGTAATTTTTTTAATGATGTGACGATTTACATCAGGCGAATCAGTCAGACAAGACTGATATAAGAACCCCGTTTCTCCTCTTTGGAGGCCTTCGATTTCGACCGTCGAAAATAAAGTATCACATTGGCATAAATGTCTATTTTGACGCAATATTGTTTGTGTCCGGTGCTGGGTGCGGCAAAATATTATTATTCTGTATCGATAACTTTTAATTAATTTTCTTTTGGCGTGTTTATTAAGGGCATTTTTTTAAAATTTTACTATTTTTTTTTTTTTTCAAAAATATCAGATCAAATATTTATTTTTATTTTTTATATTATATTAAAAATTAATTTTTTATTCAAAATATCACATCAACACCTATTTATATAGCATTATACAATTATTTATGTTCAAAATTTGTACTGTTCAAATCACAATCAAAAATCCAAATTCCCAAACAAACACACCATTTATACATTCCCGCAAGTCGTCATTCATTTCCACTGGTTCTCTTCTCCCAAGCAATAAGAGTCGAGTTTTTTCCAAAACAATTTCTCTCCTGTTGTCCCTTCGGCACCAAAGCACATGTGTTATTGAGTCGAGAGGCATGGTATATATGCTAAACCAGTGAAAGTAAAGAAAGATCTTTCTTATCTTTTCTGAATTGAAAATTTTTTAGACTCTGACCAGATAAAACTTCTACTAATATATTGTTTGAATGATAGGAGGGGGAGATGTTCACAACATAAGAGAATCGGTCAGAGAATAACTTTTTGGACAAAAAAAAATCGAAAGAGAATTAACAAATTTTTATCTACATTTATAATAACAAAATGCTTAAAAATATATTTTTTTTTATCATTTTTAAATATTCATTTTTTATTTTATAAAAATTAATTATACATTAATACTAAAATATTTTATAAAAATTAATTATTTTATTTATTAATTTATTACAAAATCCACCTTCTTAATAAAACATCACTGCACAATAAAATTGGAATACTATTTTTATTAATTTATTACAAAATCCATCCTTTTGATTTGGGACAACGGAATAAAATTAGAAAAATAATTTTTAAGAGAAATAAATTCGAGGGAAATTTTTATTAAATTATGGTTATTAACAAAGTCCACAGCCCAATGAACAAAAAATTGAAGGGTATGTGCGGCGGCAAGGGTTTTGCAGGCTGAGGCTGACGGAAGAAGACGACGGAGCGATTCTCCAAGGAAGGAAAGGAGACCAAAATGAAGTCGGTGGTGGGGATGGTGGTCTCCAACAAGATGCAGAAGTCGGTTGTGGTGGCGGTCGACCGTCTCTTCCACCACAAGCTCTACAACCGCTACGTCAAGCGCACCTCCAAATTCATGGCTCACGACGAGGCAAATCAGTGCAATATCGGCGATCGAGTGCGTATTTATCGAATCCATCTGATAATTTCTCCCCGTCGCGATGATTGCTTAATTTTTTATTTTAATTTATTTTTATTTGATCGAAATGAATGGTTTCAGGTGAGGCTGGATCCTTCGCGGCCGCTGAGCAAGCGGAAGCATTGGGTTGTGGCTGAGATTCTCAAGAAGGCCAGGATATATACGCCGCCGTCTGCTGTTAAGGACGCTTCTGCGCCTGATGCTGCTTAAGGTGATTGGGGATTCCATGTCCTTCATTCCTCTCGTTTTGTTTGTTTGTTTTTTTTTTTAATAAATTTTCTGTTGCATTTCCTCTTTAGTGAGATTGGTGTAATTGTTCTACTGAAGAATCAACAAAGTTTTCCTAGGAAATTAACCAAGGATTGATTTATCCAATGTCATTTATCTGCACCCTGCTAGTAGCTGTTTATGTGGATTGATTTATACCATGAAGTGCATAGTTGTCCATTAGCGGTGTAGCGGAACAGAAAGGTGCGGCAGTGTGCTGCTATGGCCGCTCCACAATGCCACTTTTATATGCAATACCGATGAGCGAGCGCCATGAATAAAAATATTATATTCGCCATTATAAGTAGGTTTAGATTTTACGATTTAATGTTATATTTTTTATTTGGTAAATATAGATCTTATATTATTCTATTATAGTATTATGTAGCTACTTTTGGTTCTAGAAAGGGCAAAGAACATTATGTGATGTGAGTGTGACGAACATAGGATGGAAAAATTTGACGAAGAAGATGAAGAAGAATATTCATACAAGATTAAATGCGAGGATGGTGAAAATATGGAATAGATTGTTTATCGGATTTTGAATCTGATTAATTTTGATTATCTACCAAAGTAGCCGTTATCTAATTGTTTTTGCTTATTATAACTATCTATGAGCTATGATTATATACTTTTTGCAAACTTATTAGTTTGAATGATAATCATGATACTAAACTATAGATTTTTGTATTTTTTTTTTTATTGTAAATTTATATTTATATATATTTTCATTTTAGAAGTTGACCGCATTGTAAGGCTATTTGAGATTGACAGCTATGATAATGTTAATAGTTGAAAAAATTGGATAGCTTGATCAGAATTGTTCTTCCCATGTGTTCGTCTGACATATGAATTTGTTAGGATAAAGAAATGGATATCTTGTGACAAGAGAGAGAATGATTGTATGAAAATTTTGTTTTATGTCGACAAAGTTTATATGTTGTTTCCTTGTCGATCCAGAACTGGTTAATATGTTGTCAATAGAGATGAAACACTTTCATTAGGCCGTGTGTCGGGCAGTCGGCTGAAGATGATAAGGTAACTTAGTATGCTTTCTTAATCATTACAATTTTTTTTTAACTTTTTTTTTCTTCGAGGTTGAATGTGTTTTCCAATGTGCATGTCGAATATAAGAACAAAGTGAAATTTTTTTAGTACTTGTATTCTATCCGGAGCAACTTGAAATTTTTTATGCATAATACTATTTTGTTGGCACTATACTTAGCTTGCAATACTTGAGATTTTCTGATTTGTGGATATTACCAATCAACTTATAGTGATGGCATTTTGTTTTTTTTTTTTTTTTTATAATGTGGGAACTCGTAGTTGTTATTTTTCGAGTGCGCTCTGGGTAAATTTTTGACCGAATTTAATAGTCTGCAAACTAAGTTCAATAAAGTAGTAGCTCATTGTATAATACCTATTTCATTTGATCCGATCTAAATGTCATCGTTAGGTTTTGCTAAACCCTTCGAGTGATTGATATGTGCATTCTCTTGTTTGCCAATCACTTGCAAAACATAGATAAGTTTTATTTTGTTAAAACGTTTACTTAAGGGTGTGTTTGTCTGGGGATTTGGATTTTGAGTTGGGATTTGACTGGTAAAATTTTTGAATTTGAATAGTCGTACGATGTGATATAAATAGGTGTTGATGTGATGTTTTGAATGTAAAATTGCCTTTTAGTATAATATAAAAAATAAAAAAATAAATGTTTGATTTTATGTTTTTGAGGAAAAAAAAAAAAAAAAGGATGAATAGTGTATTTAGGGGATGTTTTTGAGGAAAAAAAAAAAAAAAAAAAGGAAGAATAGTGTATTTAGGGGAGAATCTCCGAATAAACACACCCTAAGTAGATTAGATATTATTTGCAAAAGTATTTTGGTATCATAATTGTGTACTGTTAAAGAATGGCCAGGTAGGCAAAACCTAAAAGCGTCGAGAGTTTGAACGCACTCGGAATGGATGCTCAAAATGAATGAATTTAATCTGTACCCTTAATCATTAAATTATTTATTTTATACAAATTATTTATGAGATTTAATTAAAGCATATATTGAATTCATAATTCATATGCATATTCCAATTCCAACACCGTTTACATCTAACACTTACTTAAATTGTATAAAATAATTATTCAAATTTACTCCTATTTAAAATTCAAATTCAAAAGCTAACCCAAACAAACACATTGCAAGGATTTGTTTGTTTATTTTTCACATAATTCTTTATATTTAATTTATTATATACATAAAAAAATTGCTCATCATATATCATATCATATATTTATATATATATATATAGTATAAGACACTTTAATTTGTGTATTTTCGTAATTTTGAATTTTTTTTATTTTTTTTAAATAATAAGTTTGGATAATTAGTTAAAATTTGTTAGGATAACAACTAATCTAATAAAATCCAAAATTATCGAGATAATAAATAACAAGGATATGTATAAAATTATTATGAGATTGTCGTCATCGTAAAAACGGTGATCCCACCGTCAGATCAATCAGAAATTTTCAAAAAGTGTTCGTAATTTGCTACTTTTTCAAATATTGGGATTATTCTACCAAAATGACAAAGTTTTCATGTTTGTGTTTTATCTTTATTTTTCTTAAAAATGTGATTTTTGTTGGTTGAATTAACGATGATTGAACATGTTTATATGTATTCTTAAAAATTATTATATTTTATTTCATTATTGTGAACTTTTTACAGACAACGCGTGATTTTTTATTTTTTTTACCTTGGAAGGTTTTTCACATAATTATTTTTTTTGTATTTTATTTACGCTTATAATTATAATTTGTTATCGTCCAAAGGAATTGAATGATTTTAGACATGAAAAAATATCATTATCTATTTTATATATTATTTATGTATATAATTTTTTATCTTTCTTTATATAGTGAAAATTTTATAATAAATTTGTTTTCTTTGATTTATAAATTTTAAATTATACAAAAATTTTCACTAATCAATTTTTTTTTTTTTATCCATACTATAAAAAGAAAAGGAAAAGAAGTAGAAAGAAGAAAAAAATAATTATTTTATTTTATTTTATTATGTATAATAATATTATTAAATTAATTTTAATTTTCTACTAATTGATTCTTTTTTTTTTTTCTTATTATATTTATTTACAAATTTATTTAGTTTCGAGTATAATGATCTAATACTTCATTGTTATTATCTATACAAAATTTTGGCCTCTTACGTATATATAGAAATACAAAATTTTAACTAATATGTATTTTATTATTTAATACATATTATTTTATTATTTTGGTTTTGAATATTATATTAACATATTTTTTCCCCAATTTGTATGCATATTTTTATTTGTTTTTTGTTATTTTTATTTTTTACTAGTCAATTCTTATTTATTTTTATTCTATACTTACTTTTTCTAATTAATTTGGTTTAGAATATTAATATTTTAATACTTTTTTTTTTTTTTTTGATGAAAATTGAAATTATATTCAAATTTCGAGTTTTTGTTTTTATCTAATATGATTTTTTAATAAATAGTTTTAATCAAACTTATATTTAACTTCGTTTTTAAGTATGAATTTTGTAATTTATAATTTATATTTTTTATTACTTAATACTCTGCAATATTTATTTTTACTTTTGTTAGTTTATTTATTTTTTTTTTTTTTTTATCAATAATACGAATTTAAATTTATTGTAATGTTTCATTTAATAACATTGTAAATAAATATTTTAAATCTAATTTAGATTTGAATTTAAAATGGTATATAAATTTTATTTGATTTATGATTTACTTAATATTATTTGTTTGATTTTTTTTCGTTACTATATATATATATTATTTAGTATGTTGTTTGAACATTATTTTCAAACGAACTTCTTTCAAATTTATTTTGATTTTTTAATTTAAGAGTGATTATGAATAATTATTTTTTATCTCTATTATGTTTGGGTTTAAATTGAAATATATTTATGAAATTTTGATTCGCTTACTTAATATTCTTTATTTGGTTTTAGTTACCGTATTTTTGTTTATAGTTTATTTTTTATATAAATTAATTTTTGTTATCTTCATACAAAATTTTATTGTCAAAATAAAATTTATTATTTAAAATATAAAATTAAATTAATATCATAATTTTTATAATTACTCGTGCTAATAGGCTAGTTTATTATAAAGAGGTGCTTCTAATTTTTTTTTTTTGTATAAAATATATATTTATAGTTACTAATAATTTGTTTAAAACAAATAATTATACATTGTAATGTTAGATAAAAAATTATAAATTCAGAGTTGAATGATTTATATGTGCTATCATTATTGTTTGTTTCTATTTTTTTTTTTTTTTTCATTATTATTACAACAAAAATTTATCTTCTCGGAATAAATTGTTCGCATTTGAATATTATACTCTCTCCGTCCAATTAAAAAGTTACAATTTTTCATTTTCGTCCGTCTTAAAACAAGGTTACTATTTTCTGATTTAGTAATTGTATTGTTTACATAACATAATAAATACCCTTCCAATTTATATTATATTACACAAATGTCATTATTATTATTAGAGGTATTTTCGTTTTTTTACTACAATTCATTATAATATTAATATTAAAAAATTTATATGAAAAAGTAAACTGCAACCTTGTGTTGGACTGATGCAATATTTTTTTATAAAATATTCAAATATACTTTTTAACATTCCTTAATTATGGACCGAACATAACTATTCATTCTATGTGATAAAAATAGTTCATTTGGATTCGATAATTAGAAAAAAAATAAAATAAATATTTTATTATAAATTTTAACAATAAAAAATAATTAGTGATTAATGACGGTAAACAAAGACAATGACTAATAAATAAAAGTAAATTATGCAGAGACATGAATGATTAAATTTGTAATAAACTAGATTTTGTGGAAAAAAACATAGGGAAAAAATCATTATTGGTATGGTATAATCAAAATTTATTAATTTTAGTCTCAATATAATCAAAATTTATTATTTTTTGTCTCAATATAATCAAAATTTATTATTTTTTGTCCCAATATAATCAAAATTCATCATTTTTGGTTTTAATATAAATTTTTTATCAATTTTAGTCATAATATAACGAAAACTCATCATTTTTTATCCCAATATAATCAAACATTATCTTTTTTTGGTCTCATCGTCAACAAACCATACGGAAAATGCTGACATGGACTTGAAAAATTGTGCAATTTATTCGAATATAAATATAAGGTTTGATTTCTTTTCACGTCAATATTTTACGTCGGTTTGCTGACGATGGGACAAAAAAAAAAATTTGATTATATTGGGACAAAAAATGATGAGTTTTGGTTATATTGAGATTAAAATTAATAAAAAATTTATAGTATGACAAAAAATGATGAATTTTGATTATATTCAGATAAAAAATAATAAATTTTGATTATAAAATGCATCAATTTTGGTTCTATTGGGACTAAAAATAATTTTTTTCCCAAAAACATATAAAACTATTGCAAATTACACTAATAATAATAGTTAAAAAAAAAAAGACAAGACAAAAAGGTCATACAGTCCGTTGATTCATGTTCGCATCTCATCTGACATAATAATTTCTCCTCATCTCATCTCGACGATATCTCATATCATCATCTCCTGAAAATTTTGGCATCAAATTGGATATTGGAAGCGTAATCAATCTCAATCGTCGTCATCATCATCATGTTTCTAAAACCCTTTATGGCTTCTGCTCTGTTTTCAAACCCTCCCGGGAACCCATTCCCACGCTACTTCGCCCACTCCCGGTGATTCACCGGTGACTATCACTACTCTTTCTTTCTTCGCAGATGGATAGATGGATGGACGGATTCGCGGCGTTCCAGTGATTGGATTCTGTCTCCTTCTCCTTGAACTTCATTTGGGGCAGATCTGAATCCCCGCTCCTTCCTGCCTTTTGAATTTTATCCGTTTCGATCCGAATTGGGCGTGATTCGGTGGGGCTGATGGACGACGAAGATCACCTAGGCCTCGTCGCCTCTGCTGGTTTGTTTTCATTTCTGCTGCTTCCTTTTCTCAACAAGTGTTCGGCAATGAATATCTGTAGACTGTAATTATACATTAATTTACGGTGTGTGTGATTTATTCGAATAGGCTGTTATGGAAAGTTTGTTGTTTTTAGGTCAAATTGCCGACGAAACGGTTTCAGGCAGTGGAAGTTGCTCGTAATTCATCAAAATTTTAGTGCTTATGTTCTTCTTAACTGTTTTAGGGAATTACGCTCATATTACCAACATAGTTTAATTCTTATCTTCTTTATATACAGCAGCATATCCAATAGATGAAGAATGTGCATGATGCTTAACGGGTTTTATTTATTATGCATTCCCAGTTCTTCATTTTTTTTTGTTTGCCACATTTTCGATATATCATCATTCTACTGAATAAGTGGAACCACTTTCTGCATTTGTTTGATGTGTTTTGGCTGTTAATTGCCTTTATTTAGGATGTAATATTTAGAGTTCTTGCAGCTGAGCAGTAAATATGATGTCTTTTATTTTGATTGATTTGAGGATTATCCTTCATATTATAGGTGACAGAGGTGTCGAGCTGCACAATGTGACTGAACAGGTGTATTATCTCACCTCACACTTTAACAAAAATTTTGTGTGTTTATCTCTTAATCACTTCAGTGTTTTGTATAGGGATCTATATACATGGTAAAGGTACCTTATAAGTTATAAAATGTTGCTCAGATGTACTTATCTTTTGTCAGCCAATTTCACCTAAGGATGAGAAAGTTATGTCGGCAATTCCTTCGTCAGAAGTGGCTATCTCAGGTACATCAAGAAATATCAAAGAACAGCCAGTTAGATCAGAAGCTAGTGGAGCTCTTAGCACAACACATCCATTAAATTCTTATACACCTCCGGAGCCAAGTTATTTTTATATAGGTTAGTCACTTTGTATATTTTTTACCAAATTATTTTGTTCTGACAGTAATTGTACAATGCAAGGGAATTATTAAAAAAGTAAAGTTACAGAAACATGTCTTGATCCTTGAATATATATTTTCAACATGTTCCTTGAGTTTTAACGTTATACAAAGAGGTTCAATACTTAATAGTGAAGTAGAGCAAGCACAGTGCTATGGAGAAAGAGTTCTTTAAGCCAGATACGGATGCTGTTCATTGGGTTTAATTTCAGTACCTTCGAATCTTGGAAGAATATGCTTACCTTAGGTTTCTGATGTAGGTAGTTGGAGCCGTTAAAGTTTAAGTCACAATAATTGTTTAAGCTTGAGCCAATCATTTTGGTTTAGAAGTGAGTAGCATTTGCAAGTTTGTTGGTTTGGTTAAAGTCACACTCTTATGAACAATTTAGAGCTACCGCCATATAAAAAAAAATGCAGAACACCCGACAAAGAAAACTCACTTGTATTAGTCACAACACGCCTGCAATGGTGGCTAATTCTTGACTCTTGAGAATGGTGAACTGAAGCATGCATAATTACAGTATTTGTCACTTCATTACTTTTCAATAGCTGCCTGGAGAAGCAACACTTCTGTTATCAAACTAGTTGCTGAAGTCAAGGAATCACTGTTCGATAACCTACACTACCTATGTTAAGTATTTACATCAAGAAGTACTTGCTTACAAATGATAAACCCGGATTTACATAGAGAAACCTAGATGTAACAGACTTAGAGAGTTAAAATGGTGTGCCATCTTGTTGATCTCCAAGACCTTGACTGGGTATTATGTGCTCTTAGCTGGTGTTCTGATTTCCAAAGTCACCCCACTTGAGATAGGCTTTTTGATACTTAAAAGTTCAATATTCCTCTACAAAAGGTTATACCACCTTAAGGGTTTTTTTTTTTGTTTTTTTCCCTTGATCTGAGCATCCTGTAACTTCGCCAAGTATTTGATGTTCTCTTAGTTTGAAATTTTTGAGGGTAAATATTAGCATCTAATGTCTTCTTAATATTTCTTATACACCAAATATAAATTCGTGTTGTCCAAGGTTGTTATTTCTTCAGTTGATTCAAATGGATGCTGCTGCTGCAAATCTTTCACTAGGAAAAAACAACACTTATTTATGGGCTACATTTCCATTTTTTTTTTCTTGTTAGGTTACAACTGACAAATAATGGAAATCCAATGTTTCTTATTAATTCCTACCAAAAATTGTTTTTGTGTTGTGGACTTTCCCAAACACTCAACTCTGCAAAGTGATTTTGCGTTGATCTACATGTTTCATTATCCTTTCATGAGCTTTCTTTAAGTAGCTCTATGCAATTTCCAAATCCGTGATTATTCTTTTGAGATCTTAGGGATGATCTCGTACTTTGCTTGCTATCCAAAGTACGTGGGAGCAGCAGTTGTTGCATGATTATGATTCAAAAGCTCTACGGTTGGCTGTGAAACACTCTACCCATTGAATCACAACAAGACTGCATTTGAAAGCTTCACCTGATTTTAGCAATCGATACATCAACATCTTCTACTCTGTTAGAACATATATTAAACCAGATGTAAACATGTTAGCATGGTAACTTTAATCTATAATGACATCAATGTTGGTTGTCATGCTTTATGAATGTGTTAGAACTACAACCCAATTGAAGGAGCAATGTAGCCGCATATTCGGAAGTTTTTTTTTTTTTTGAGAGTTGAAGAAATTTTATCAATAGAAGGAGAGAATACAAGATAGGAAGCCTGAAAACTCGGTAGGAATTAGAATCAAGCAGATAAATGTTGGGATCAGAATCGTGGGTACCCGTATTGAGTATATTGATTATGGTTAGGATTTGGTTTCGAGATGAATATCATCTCGAGGGATGTTAAATGTTGTACCACATGGATAAATGTTGGGATCTCCTCTTTGTTTATAAGAGTGAAAGACAACTCCTCTTGCTACCAATTGGTTTAAGATGGAGCTCTGGGTCCCTTTTTAAAAATGTGCAATATAAAAGGTATAAAAGTAACAAGAAGAAAAGTTGTCCAATGGACTTTGATAGTCATTTATAACACTGCCATGTCATTGAAACCTGAGTTATCTCCTTTTTTGTCCTACCCCTTGCAAGCTACAAACTTGATTCAGGGTAATTACATGGTAACATTGTTATGTTTGTTGTCAAGCTAGGTATTTGATTCTGATACACTTTTTTGCTTTACTTCCACAATGTATTTTGCACAGTTTCTATCATCTCTAGCAAAACTTTCATTTATCTTTCACACTTTATACCTACCTCCTGGTGCTTGGATTTATAAAATGTTAATTTACTTTTTCCAGGTGGAAGTGGTAACTGGGATGAGCATTCACCCTATGCTAGTTCCAACAATTTGCATGTCATGCCTCAGGTGAATACTCACTTTTATTGCAGGCGCATGAAATGTTCACTTTTTTTTTTTCTTTTTTTTTTTTTGTTTATATATAATTTCTCACTATTAATTCTCATTCTTGTTATTGTTTTAAGGGAATGTACAATGATAATTCATCGCTCTTCTATCCTCCGGGCTATGGCTTTGACTCCCAGATGGCTTATGGACAGTTTTCCCCATTTGGTGGCCCTCTATCACCTGTAACATTTGATGGTCAACTATTCTCCCCACATCAAATGCCAGTGTCGCCCCCTTACTATCCTCCAATTTCACCAGGCCCACAACATGTTACTTCTGCTCATGCGCCTTCGCAGCATGATTTGTTGCCCACAGGAAGTAGCAGCCAAGACAATCTCATTGACAATGCATTTTTTGGGCCAGGATCTGGTTATTTTCTCCCTGTTGGATCTTTCGGTGGAGATCTCTCTGGAAGCGGCAGCCTTGGTCTTTACAAGTTTCCTGGAGAGCTTGGATCCAGTGACTCATTGCAAAGTCATTCGAATTCCTTAAGTTCAAGCAAGTTCATGTCACAGATATCTTCTCGGAATGCGTATCAACAACCAATCGGGACGCTTGGATCTTATGAACAAAATGTTGCACAGGTCTGCTTATGTTTCTCGTGAAGTCACATACACACTTACACAACATTTATGTGGATGCTCAAAGAATTTGATATTCTTTATTTTGACCGTGCTGATGGTAGCTATTTCTTCAAGTGCTGATTCTGTTTTCAATGATAATGCCTTGCCTCATTTCAGGGTTTTGGTTTGATGTCAAACTCACCTGGACAATATTCCCATAGTGGTTCTAACCAAGGCCCCATTGGTTCCAATCGGATTCAGTTTGCTCCTGACAAAGGTGGAAGACGGGAGAGGGTTCGGGATAATGTGAATATTCCCTCTGATGCATTTGATGCATCAAATGATCGAAACAGAGGACCAAGAGCTTCGAAGCACAAAGGCAATGGCCTCTCTCCTAGAGGGGGTGCTACGTCTGGAATAAAAGATGTTGAATCTGCTTCTGGGCTTAAAGCTACTCACTTTAACACCAAAGACCTCGTAACTGATTATGAACATGCAAGATTTTTTGTTATCAAGTCTTTTAGTGAAGACAATATCCATAAAAGTATAAAATACAACATATGGGCCAGCACACCTCTTGGAAACCGAAAACTTGATGCAGCCTATAAGGAAGCAAAAGGAAAGGAAAGCTATTGTCCAGTCTTCCTCTTTTTCTCAGTAAGTTGGTTGTTTTTGCAACACCTGCGCTTAAATTATGAACTTAGACGTAATTGGTACCTTTTAGGAGAGAGCATACATTCAAAATAGTGAGATTAGAGTTACTTTTTAGTCATGGGGACCGTAGTACTTTCTTGTTACCGTTGTGGTTAGACAATAGTAGTTGGTTAGTTTTGCTTAAATTGTGAGCTGCACAGGCTACTTTTGATATTTCATCCTAAAATAATGGTGCTTCCATTAAACCTCCAGGTTAATGCAAGCGGGCAATTTTGTGGAGTAGCTGAGATGGTTGGGCAAGTTGATTTTGAGCATGATGCTGAATATTGGCATCAGGATAGGTGGAGTGGGCAGTTTCCGATAAAATGGCATATCATCAAAGATGTACCCAATAGTCGCTTCAGGCACATACTTCTTGAAAATAATGACAATAAGCCTGTCACTCACAGTCGAGATTCTCAAGAGGTATTTTCCTTCGCATGTATACTATTTTACTTGTGTCAAAATATGCTGTAATTGTCAAATTATCATAGATTATTGAGTCAATCATTTTGTTTTATGGAAGACAACTTAACTACTAAAAGAAAATACTTAATAAAGCAATCAAATCAATTTGAATTATTGATCCTCGCTCTATAATCTATTAAACACATCAGCCTTTTACATATGCATTTTTAGAACTCAAGTTGCCCAATCTTGAATGAGTAATTTTTCCTTGTCACTGTTATAGTTGTAATCGACAAATTTCAAACCTGAATATTTCAATGACTTAAACCTGTTGTAACTTAAATGGTCTTCTGCCCTTTGTTGTTTAAGTTTTTTCGTGACAAATAAAGATGCTATAAGGATCCTATTTAATTTGTTTATTAATGTGATAAAATAACAAAAATGTATTTTGGTTCTTTTCCGTGGAATGATAGGATATTTTATTTATATTCTAGGCTCTCCACTAGTCAAATAAGGAAATACATTTTACTGTTTGTGGATGTCCTAAATGGAAAAATGTATCTATTGTTAGCGAACAGCTAAATGTCAAAAGTTTACTTCTCCGCCTTCTATGATTTCTTACATATGTTGCTAACTTTTTTGAGTCATCGATGTGCTGGTAAAATCAAAATATGAAATGGGTCCAATAATACTCCTCCATTTCAGGTGAAACTGCAACAGGGAGTTGAAATGTTAAAAATCTTCAAGAGCTACGAATCTGAAACATCCCTTCTTGATGATTTCAACTACTACGACGAACGAGAGAAAGCCTTGATGGAAAAGAAGGCCAAACAACGAGCCAATACAACTGCGCTCCCAACCGAATCAATTAACCAGCTCTCAGAAAATCTGGCTGACACCCTCCGTATGGATAATGGTAAAAAACACCTCCAGACCTGATTTGGTTTAGCGCCTGCCATTATCAAACTACTCACCATTGTCAGAAGAAATAGCTTTTCCTCTCAAGGTGATATCTTTCAGACCCATTCTCTGCCGGCTTTAAATTATTTTCACTCTTTTCGCCTTCCTTCCATGTCTCAGAGTTTCTCTGCATAATTTCATTCCAAATATTTAGGTAAAAACAGCCTCTGCTCAAGTATTCGCCAAAACCACCCGTCTTTCTTTTATATATATATATATGTTTTTTAACTTTTCTCCTCTTTAATTGTTTCTTCTCCTTGTTTGGTATTTGATTGAGATAGGTTGTGAATCTCAAAACGCTGGTTAGTTTTTTTCTCGAGTGTAGCTCAGGCAAATTATTTTGCAGCTGCTTTGTATTATTAATAATGTGTCGATGAAGGAAGGAATGGTAGCTGCACGAGTAGAGAAGTCGATCGGGTGCGTATTCTTATGTTCCTTTATGTTGTTTGCTGGTTGTTCCTTTTCTTTTTTTCCTGAAAATAATAATGCAGGAAGCCATAGAAGACTACTGTGTTTTTTCTTCAATACATTTGATGTTTATTTTAGGATTTGTGTTGTTTTATTATAGGATTTGTTCTTCATATTTGTGTATTCTCTCTTCCCCCCCCCCCCCCCCTGAAAGATTTTTACACCTTAAAATACTGTAGAAGATTATTGCATCAATGGTATGTTTATTTGGTGGAAATGAAAATGGTTATACATATATATATATATATATTTGTTGATCATATTCCTTGACTTTTTGAGGTGATTTTTATTTATTTATTTATTTATTTTTATAGTAGAGTAATTTTGATGTTATGTTTTGTTAGAAAAATTAGTACTCTTTTTTTTCGTTTAGATTATATATATATATTTTTATTTCTTTGGATTGTTAAAAAAAATGTTTTCATCCCTCTTTTTAATATAAAAAGCAAAAGTACATACATATAGTATTTGTTTGATTAGTGTTTTTAGATAAAATGTTTTCTTATCAATATTATTTAAAAATATAAAATAAAGGTACATTAACACAATATATAATACTATATATTTTATTTACTTGTGAAAAGTTATAATTGAATACAAAATATTAGGATGTGTTTTTTAATAAAAAGTATTTTTTAAAAAATATTAATATATTATACATATTTATTATTTTTATATTTTATATACAATTTTTTATATTTTACGTTATTTTATTTTATTTTTTAAAATTATCTCATAAAATAATCACATCTTTATTTTTAATATTCACAACATATTTTTTATATTTAATATAAAAAATACATCCATTTAATAGCACATAGAAAACCTTTGATGTACTTCTATACCGAAATAGTGATCTATATTTATTTATTATTATTATTATTATTATTATTATTATAATGTGAGAACTTGCTGTCGTTATCAAATTAATATCGTACGAACTATGCCCGATAAGAAAAGTCACAAGTTTTTTCAGAAAAATTAATACACTACTGGACAACATATCTATAATTAGTATTGTTTGTGTAGATTACATGTGGATAACTAATAATATTATAAAATATTGTTTGTGTTTTATTCAGCCCATAAGTGACCTAAAAATTTTGATTTATTTATCTATTGTAAAATTCGAACAAATGGTTGTTTATGAGTGTTATTTTTAATAAAATAAATTTTATTATTTGAATTTTATATTTATATATATTAAAAATTACTCATAAAAATATATATTAAATACAAAAAATTCAAACTAAATTTTTATAATTCAAACCCCAAAAACACACCAATTACTTGAACAAATGAAATAGTTGTTATATTTTGTATATAAATGAATATTCAATATTTATTGGTTACTTATGTAAGATAATTTTGGCATTTGTGTTTTTTATACTTTATATATAAATTTATTAAAAAAAATTAATTAAATGTATAATAATACGTTTATGATTTATATTAAAATTAAAAAAATATTTTAGTATTAATGTATAATTACTTTTATTATAATAAAAAATAAATATTTTGAATAAGACGGACGAAAATAGTAAAAAAATACTTTAAATTGGGATAAAGTAAATATAATATAAACATGATTTATTTTAATATATATTAAAAAAAACTATAAATAGTGAAAGTTAAAAATAAAAATAAAATCCCAACCAAACAACATAAATAAAATTTCAATCAATCAACCCCAAACTCAAAACTATCACATGCACCCATACACATCATTATCATAATTAAATTTAAATTATCCTCCAACCAATAATTTTTAATTAAATTCCAACACCAACTATCAAAATTAGTGTATCTTTCTCTACATTACACTCCTATAATTAATTAATTAATTTAGTTATAGCCAAGGAATATTTTTTCCCTTCTAGATGAGGTATTTATTAATTTTATATATATATATATATATAATATTATTTAATTTCTTACATACAACACAGTCAAATTGACCATCCCGTGGGGTCCACACCTTCTTCTTGGACCAAGTATTCGCTACTCCGCGGGCCCCATCTCCACCGTCTATTCAATCAACGGCCACGATTGATCGACGATCTGGGTCCCACCATAACAAATATAAGATCGGACGTACCTTAGCATTCTCCCTTTTTTTAATTTTTTTAATAAAATAAAAAATAAATTAATAAATAAAAAGGAGACGAAGACTGAAGCTCTGCATACGCTTCATTTTTTCCCATTCAAGACTCCTCCTTTTTACCCCCAAATTTTTTCTCTCCATCGCCGTCGTCGATTCTCCGCTGCCGCCGCCGCCGCCGCAGCTGGTGTTGCTTTAGCTCTGTCTCTCCGGAGCTGCTCGTTCCTCGCTTCGGCGGAACTGAAGGTCCTGCCGCGCTCGCAGCTGAGTTCGTTCGCGTTGCGTTAAGCGGTTCGAGAAGTAAGGCCAAGCGCTGCTCGATCGAGCTTTGTTTTTGTGGTTTTTGTCACTTTAATCGTTGGATCACGGGGTTCCTTTCGAATTCATGGGGATTTTGAAAATCTCTTATGTTATTTTTGGTGATTTTGCTTTTTTCGTGTGATTTTTTATGGTGTTTAATTGTGGATGGACTTGCTGGTATCTTTGCTTTGATTTCTTAGGGTTTCTGGATGAAGTTTGAGTACTTAGGTTTTCTTTTCTATATATATTTATTTCCATTTCTGTCTTTAATCTAGAGTTTTGATTGTAATCGCCTGGTGTTGACTGCAATTATTGCCAACTGAAGAGAAAGGAAAAACAAAAAATAAAGTAGAGGTGTGAGTAATGAGGGTTCGATGATGGTACCACTTTGTTTCTCCTTTAATTTTAGATGCACAAAATTTCTATGTTAAGCTCTGTGAATCTAACCGTGTGTGTTACGCTAGATGAATGTTGGAAAATAACTCCGATGAACTTGATGTAACCCTGCTTTTGTTCGATTTCCATTCTTCTATGTGAAGGTTTCTTGAATTAGAATTTGTTTTGAGCTTGTGTTTTATTTTGGAGAATAAAGTGCGTAGGTGATATATATATTTTTTTAATTCTGACCGAGTATATGACATTTTATGGCCATTGTCTTTATAGGGTTTTGGTGTTCTAGTTGGAGAGAAGAAATGCTATTGCAGAAGATATAGAATATTTTCGAAGTTCTTTCAGTTGCATCTACTTTGTATAGAAACCGAGAAGAAAAGAAAATGTTGGAGGGTCCAAAATTTACTGGAATGATAGGCCTTAACAACAATCATGACAACTATGATTTCTATCGCAAGCTTGATGAGGGTTCGAATATGTCAGTTGATAGTTATGGGAGCTTGCAGATGAGCAATGGCGGGGGCTCTGTTGCCATGTCGATGGACAGCAGTGTTGGATCTAATGGTTCGCATACTCGCATCTTGGATCACCAAGGCCTCAAGCGCGTCAAGAATTATTCTGTTGCTGCTAGTGTGAATCATGGGAAGGCTTCTCATGGGCTAAGCGATGATGCCCTAGCTCAAGCTTTGATGGATCCTCGATATCCGACCGAGGGCCTTGGGAATTACGACGAGTGGACGATTGATCTGAGGAAGCTGAACATGGGGCCTGCATTTGCTCAAGGGGCTTTTGGGAAACTCTATAGAGGCACATACAACGGTGAAGATGTTGCAATTAAGCTTCTAGAAAAGCCAGAAAATGATGCGGAAAGAGCGCAGTTGATGGAGCAGCAATTTCAACAGGAGGTGATGATGCTGGCAAGATTGAAGCATCCAAATATTGTTCGATTCATTGGCGCCTGCCGCAAGCCTATGGTCTGGTGTATTGTCACTGAATATGCTAAGGGAGGTTCGGTGCGTCAATTCTTGACAAAGCGGCAGAACCGTGCTGTTCCCTTAAAGCTGGCAGTAAAACAGGCTTTGGATGTTGCTAGAGGGATGGAATATGTTCATGGCTTAAATTTGATTCACAGAGACTTGAAATCGGACAATCTCCTGATTGCGGCCGACAAATCCATAAAAATTGCTGATTTTGGGGTAGCTCGCATTGAAGTGCAGACAGAAGGCATGACGCCAGAGACTGGCACATACCGTTGGATGGCCCCGTAAGTATTCAATTATGACTCCTTTTGTCACTTTTATCCTTCATTTAATTCTTTATACAAATTTAGTTTTGCGACAAGCGCGTAGTATTGGATGGTAGCGTAAATGTTATTATTTCATACTTTCTTGTTTTCATGCACTTTACTTATTCTATAAGTAGATATTCTGTTTCGGTTAAAGTACATGCCATCGGATTCACCCTGCTTTAATACCATTTGTCTTTTTATGCGCTTCATTTTTAGTTATTGTAAATTTGGTGACAAGTTCATTCTGTTGGATGGCCTGTTAAGTGTTTAAGGCTGATATACTTGTCGTTTTGTGTTCTTTAATATACGTATTTGATCTGTGTATCTATCTCCCTAACTAATTTTCCCGTGTATTTATTGATTCATAAACTATTTTTTTCAGGCTGTTAATTAGACTCATAGGAATGTCACCATTCTGTTTGAAAATATTCTGAGTTCAGTATCAGGCTGTAGATTTGGATTGAAGTGTAAAATTGATAAGAAGGAAAGATTTATTGCCTACGAACCAACAAGTTTTTCGATATATGTAAAACTTAGTTCGATTTGTTTTATAGTGCAATTATCATCTTTTATACTGAAATTATCAATTATTGCATTTTGTAAGTTTGTTTTATGGTAAGAAAGAGTCTCTTAGTTTTCGAAGTTCGTCTTGAAACTGAAGCTTGAAGATTTGCCTTTCCTCTTCACTTTATTTTTCTTAAAACAAGCCATGGTTTTGATATTTGATCTTTATATATATATATATATCTTAAAAAAATATGATGTCAGAACTTAGAATGTTCAGCTCAAATGTGCAGGTGTTTGTTCAGATACATTTTCGGGTACAAAAATAAATGTGTTTTCAGTGACGACGGCTTTACTTTAGTTGCTCCGGATTAAGTATATTGTCTGGAAGTAGTTGCAATTATTACCTTCAAATTCTTATTCCATAAATTTTATTGCATTTAGTAGTTACAAAAGGTTTTCGAAAGTTCAACTTCTTCTCTTCCCGAGACGTGCTTTTTTGTGTTGCTTTTATCGGGCAGTGTGGAAGGATCTTTGTCGATTTGTCCACCTTGTATTACTTCACTTAACTATTTGAAAGCCCGTTAATTTTCTTACCATAAGTCCCGGGAATTTAAACTCAGGCAAGAATTCGTATTTTAGTTATGCCGTTAGCTTTCTGCTCCTTGAAAATTACTGCTCTTTAATTTGATTCGTTTTTTATGAAATATATTACATTTCACCTTCTTTTCAACCAAATGCTCGTCAACTTTTCCTCGGTGTTACACTGTAAATATTTTTTACTGACTTACACATATACTTGCTTTGATTTTTACTGCTGTTCGAATGAAGTAAACTTGAGGGTTTGTTTGGTTTGGTTTTTGACATTTTTTGTCGACATTTTATCCATTTCTTCGATTTTAACCATATCGTTATATCCATTTGTTGCAGGGAGATGATCCAGCACCGACCCTACACCCAAAAAGTCGACGTCTACAGCTTCGGGATCGTGCTGTGGGAGCTGATCACGGGAATGCTCCCGTTCCAGAACATGACTGCCGTTCAGGCCGCGTTTGCGGTGGTCAACAAAGGCGTCCGCCCGACTATTCCTAACGACTGCCTTCCCGCCCTCAGCCAGATCATGACGCTCTGCTGGGACGGCAATCCCGACGTCAGACCGGCCTTCGGCGATGTCGTTAGAATGCTCGAAGCTGCCGAGACTGAGATCATGACCACCGTCAGAAAGGCTCGTTTCCGATGCTGCATTAGCCAGCCGATGACGACTGACTGAGGAGAAGAACTGCGGCTCGATTTTCGGGTTTGGCTCGACTCGACGCGGAAGGGATCGGATGGATTGTGTATGTATCACCCAGGCTTGATGTTGTTGAGAAAATTTGGAGAGGGAAGGTTGTTTGTTGTTGCTATGATGGTAAGAAGTTCATAACTTAACTGAATGTTTATTTTTATTTTTATTTTTATATTTTTTACTCCTTTGTTTTTATGTTTTGTGTACTGCTTTTGGTTTTTTGTTTTGTGTCTATGGATTTGAGATATATATATATATATATATACTCGATTAGTGGTAATATAGAAGATTTTATGTGTATTTATCTTTTGTTTAGAGGGGTTGTTTTCTTGATGATGTCTCGGGTTAATGTTTGTGTTTTAGATTTTTATTTTTTATTTTTAATTTAAATAATATTTTGATATAATTTTTGTGAAAGAAAATAATGTAATATATGTTTGGATAGAGATTTTTGAAATTTTGAAAAAAAATAAAAATAAAAAGATAGTATTTGATGTAATCTTTTTTAAAAATAAATTATATTTTTTTTTATCATAAAGTATTTATTTTTTTATTTTAGTTCGTTCTATAACAAAGTATGTTTTTTTTTTAAGAACTATACTGTCTACCTAACATTAGAAATACTTTTACAACTTACAATATATTACACAAATATTTACCTTTATATCACATATACTAATAAAGTTATTTTAGTCATTTTTATTTTTATCTCAATATAATATTAGTATTTCTAAAATTACGTAAAAAAAAAATATAATATTAGTATTTTTATTTTTTTTACTGGGTGACTTTTCCGTCCGACTTAATGTGCAGAGTATTAGGTTCAGCCGGGATCTATAGGGGGTTATTGGTTTTTTTACTGAGTGACTTTTCAGTCCGGCTTAGTGTACAGAGTATTACGTTCGGCCAGAATTTACCCACACTTTCGGATAGCGACCGTAGGTTTCCACGTCATAGAAAAAATAAAAAATAATAATAAATAAAAAAAAAATAAAAAAAAAATATTATATCAAAATATTATTTAAATAAAAATTTACTGAATTACATATAAAATTCCAAACGGCTCAAAACTTTATTTAAACTTCCCATATATTCTTTTTTTCCTAAAACTCTTTAAACATAAGATTACATTACTTTGAACTATAAAATATTTTTTTTACCCTTCTATTATTTACAAAATGCCAAATTTATTTAAAAAATCACAAAAACCAACATTTTATATTATTGTCCTCAATTCTAGCCAAATTTGTACAGCTGCCTCACCTTCTAACAATTCTACCCGCGGAACCGCCCACTCTTGGTGCCGTCCCTCGGTCAACTCTGGTAGCTGCCACCGTCCGTCTATGTTGCTGTTTGTCGATCAATATCAATATCTCTATTTTTCTTTTTCGTCTGTTCTATTTTAAATATTTTATAAAATTAATTAGATCTAAATACTAAATATCTCACGCTCTTATAAAGTTCGTTTAAATTGACTTAAAAATAAGCAGAAGTCAAAAGCAGAAGAAGTAGAAGTAAAAGCCAAAAATAAAAACAGTTCGATTTTGTGTTTGGATAAATCATTATAAAAGCAATTTTTTTGTAAAAAAACTGTTTAAACGTTATAGAGTTGAAAATGCTTTTAAACTGTTAAAATTATTTAAGAGGACATGCTGTTAATATAATATTTTTCTATAACACTTTTATAATTTAATTTAAATTTTATAAATTGTATTTAAAGATATTAAATTGAAGTATAAAAAATGTACTTTTAAATTTTGATTATTTACATTTTAAAATTTTAATTTTAGGATAATATATCAATTACACACAAAATTACAATATAATATTAAATAATTTGTATTTCATAATTTATTTTAAAATTTTATAAATTATATTTAGTAATTTAAGTATAATTAAAAATTTATATACTCCTATTTTAAATTCGGTATTTAAATTTTAATTTTGATCCAAATATAATATATAAGTTATTTATTTTTATATTATATTATATTATCGTATTGTATTTATTATTATTATTAAGGATAAAACAATAATTTTAAATGAAAAGTGCTTCTGCTTATTTCAGAAGCTATCCCTAATGTGCTTCTGAAAAAAAGCACTTTTCAGCTTCAAAAGTTGCTTATGCTTTTAGACAGAAGCCAATGCAAACAGGTGCAAACTGCTTTTTTTAGAAGTAGAAGCCAAAGGCTCCAGTCAGAAGCCAATCTAAACGGGGCCTTAATATTATATACTCCCTCTGTCCTTTCACAATTGACACTATTTCTATTTTTGCTGTCCCGTAACAATTGACACATTTCTATTTTTTTTAAAAATTATTAAATCAAAATATATTTAACAAATATAAATCAACTTAATTAACCACGTAATATACAACATCATAAATGACGTAGACCACTAAAAACTCCTTTATTTCTACCTCTCTTCTCATAAAAATAAATACTTTTATCTATTTTTAATGTTGGGGTGCAAACCCAAGTCCACATCGGAAGTTGCGAAGAAAATTCGACAACTTATAAGTCCCAAGTAAGCTCCACTAGCATGAGGTTTTTTGGAGGGTATTCAAAAACAAATCCGTGCGGGCTCAGCCCAAAGAGGACAATATTATACTAGTGTTAGAGTTGACCCGTCCCAATATTTAAAACTACACATCTTTTATAAAATTGATTTTTTATTTATTACATATATTTTTTAATTGCTATATAATTTTTAAATATTTAAACATATATTTTACTTTTTTTTTAATCATATATATTAAATTTATTTTAAAATTATAAATATTATTAATTATATAAAAAATAATATAATAATATCATAACTAATTATTATTAACTAATTAAATATCCTCACCTTAAATACCGTGTCTCAAAGTAAATGGTTCGATTCCAGTGGGAGTGAGGGAATATATATATATATATATATTTACTTTCAATAAAAGTTCAAAATATCTCATATCAAAATTATTATTATAATGCAATAAACAAAAAAATAAAGGAAAAACAAAAATGGGGCTTTAATTGGAGTGTTTTCATAAATCGAGCGCAAAATTGATATATGTATATAAATAAGGGTGCAATGTGTAAATTTGTCCATTCTGTAGTGCTGAAGGAGAAAGTAGAATTTGTTTGCAGAACTATTTTGCTAGTCTGCAAAAAAATTCAGTTCAATTCGGAAGGAAGAAGAAGGTCATCACTGGAGCAAGAGCTAGATCCAGTCCCTCTGTTTCAATCCCCTCGAAGCTATTCGCCATGGCGGTAATTTCTTTAAAAATTTCATGTTTCTGTTTTTGATCTCATTTTCACATTTGCCGATCGGCAGAATCAATTTCAATTTTGTACATTGATCGTCTGTTATTCGGAATTACGCGTGATTCGTTCTCTGTTTCTTTCTTAGGATTCATCGGGGACGACGCTCATGGATCTGATAACATCGGATGGTTCGTCGTCGAAGTCTACCCCAGCGTCGTCAGGTACTGCGCCGCCGCCACTTGATTCGCCGACGAGCACGGCTGCGAGTGCGGCGGCAGCTCCTGTGGCGGCGGAACGGAAGTCGAAGAAGGGTACACTGTTGCAGATCCAGAGTGATACTATCTCTGCTGCGAAGGCTGCTTTCAATCCGGTTCGAGCCAACATTATGCCACAAAAGCAAAAGAAAAGGGTATTGTTCTCTCCACGTTTATGGATTGAAGTTGCTATTGCACTTCACTTGATCTCTTCTTCTTCTTTGTGTGGTTTCTGAGTTTGTTAGAGGCAACATACTCTGGTTTTATTCATCTTTTCTTTATAGAAGTAAAATGAGGTTGAATAAACCGTAGACCTTGATGAATCAAACAGCAGGTTAGCTGCGTTTACTCATCTGATTCAATTGCATAATTAAGGTCATCTGGTATTTGTTGTTCATTGGTAGTAAATTAACAGAGATTGCTAGTTTACAATTCTATCTTGCCTTACATGACCAGACGCTACTTCCACTGAGCTTGTTAAGTCTTCACGGGCTTGTTTATGCAGATGATGAAATCTCATTGATATAGTTTCAGCGCAGTATGATTTAACAGTTCGGTTGTTCATTATTTCATTTGTTTTTCAACAGCCAGTGTCGTATGCACAACTTGCAAGGAGTATTCATGAGTTAGCAGCCACATCTGATCAAGTATCTCTCTGTTTCACATCTTTCTGTTGTCAATGCAATGATTTTCTTGCTTTGAGTGAGTTTCCTAATCAGTTCCCTTTCTATTGGTGTATGTGTACAGAAACGTTCACAGAGGCAGTTGGTGCATCATGTGTTTCCTAAACTTGCTGTGTACAACTCCGTTGATCCGTCTTTGGCCCCATCACTTTTAATGGTATTCAGCAAATTCGGTCGCTTCTAAATGTTATTTTAATTTGACACACACAGTAAAGTGTGGAAGTTAATGTTATTCATTGGGAGCAGCTTTGGTTTTACTCAATTGGTTATTATGGGGTTGAGTCAGATATTATTAGATGAAATGAGGTTCAATGACTGAATGTCTTTATACTATCACCTGTTAGCTTGAGGGATGGAATATGTAAGGTTTGTAGAAGGATGAGTATTGGTTCGTGACATGAGTTACCTCCACTATCTTAGAAGAAGAAGGGTAAAGAGATTGGCTTAGGCCAGTGTTCAAAAGGAAAAATAAATGGTAGAGATTTGAATTAAGATTGATTAGTGAATCTGTCCTTTGAAAATTCTTATTTATTTAGCTGGAGTATGCTTATGAGGATAAAATATAGTTTCAAAACCCAAAATTATGTTTATGCTATTTGGGGGTATGCATTTTTTCCAACAATTTCCAAGTTGCATATACTGGTGGTTGCCTTCCCTGACAATGACATTTGATACTCTTATAATTTCTTCTATAAACTTTAGCTTGACCAGCAATGTGAGGATAAAACTGTGTTGCGGTATGTATATTATTACTTGGCAAGAATATTAGCGGACTCCAGTTCACAAGGTGTAAGCCCTGGTGGTGGGATACCTACACCAAATTGGGATGCTTTGGCCGACATAGATGCAGTTGGAGGTGTGACAAGAGCTGATGTTGTTCCTCGAGTAGTAGAGCGGTTAACCTCTGAGGCATTGAATGAAGATCCTGCATGTAAGTGACGGGCCTTCTCACTTATATCAAATATCTCTATCCTTGCATTTTTTGTTTCTACAACACTGGTACTCATTAGGAAGCCTGAAAATTTTACTTGTAAAATCTTCATGAACTAGAGATTGGCAATTTGGCAATAACCATTTATTTTCACCTACAGAGCAACCTTTTGGACCTTATCACAATCTCACTCATTTTACTATACCATAGTTTTGGATACCTTAAATTAGTGACTGAAAAGTTTCAGTTATAGTTGGTTATTGTCCTTGCAAACTTTATTCACTTGCTTATATTGAAGTAAAATAATAGGATGTTGTTATCTTCTCCATTTCGTTGGAAGTTGTAAAGTACATGTGTAAGTATCATATGCCTAATTGTTTACCATTCCTAACTTGCCTACACCTGTTCTTGGCTATCTTATTCAAGCAGAAGCATATCTTTCAATGTGTCAATAAATTTTGTGCTGTAGACTAATTTGAAATGATTGAAGTTGTATAGCAGCTATGCCATATACTGGGCTTTTATGAATGATTTGAGGTTCATTGGTTGGGTGCGCATTGGTGAAATATTGAGTAATATGTGTTGCCGCTAATACAAGAAGATTAAATATGGTCAGATCATGGTCATCCTAACAGTTGTCTGCTAAATACCATGTGTGTGACATGGCTTCCTTCTCGACCTCCTTTTTTTAATTTTATGATTTCTACTTGTAATGGTTGCGTATCTAAAGCAAGTAAATATTGTAATCTGTTCTTCATTTAGCTTATGCATTTTCCAAGCAAGATTTTTTGTGTCTCTGAAGATTATTGCTCTGTATTCCACCTGTAGTTCATGCACGGAGGCTGCAAGCATTGAAGGCTCTTACTTATGCTCCTGCTAGCAACGGAGAGCTTTTGTCAAAGCTGTATGAGATTGTGTTTGGCATTCTGGATAAGGTTTGATTACTTACTAGATGTTTTTAGTGTATTTTTGTATGGTACTTTGTTAAACAATATATCACATCTCACTATTCCCTTATGTTACATCTGTAGTTTAATAATTTTTTGTTGATTTCGTGTGTATTTTGAATATTAGTTTTTAAAATATTTGCTGCAGATGGCTTTGAATTGTACAATTATGATGACTGAGCTATGATCTAAATTATTCAAGCAAGTTAGTGAACTGTTGTGCATATTTTTTAGTGGCACAGGCTAGCTTTCATTCTTTGGTTAGATCAATATTATGTTTGATGATTATGTGTTCTTGTGCATGTCTATTTATGGGTTTAGATAAAAACAGATGTGACATCTATCTGATCAGTACATATGGTCATATGCTGACATACGATGAAGTATGGCGTTGGAACCAAATGTCTGGATCTGAACAATTGTCAAGATGGTGCTTTGGATATTTGGTTAGCCTGTTTAAGAAACTTTATGAAATACATGGGTTTTGTAGAATCACATGCTGAAAAGGCCTACAAAATTGATGGATTTTCTAAAGTGACTCTAAACATTTATGATGAGATTTGTGAGATACTCAAAAGTCTCGATTAAGGAAGCAGCTCAAACTGAAAGTAACTCATATGGAAAGAAATTGCTAGCAGAGAGTTCTAGTACATTTGAAAAATATAGACAAGTGAGTGACTTATTATTGACAGTGACAAAAAGCTAATGTGATAAGGTCTTAAGTGGAGATGTGAATATATCTCTTTCATGACGCTTTGAAGGAATTCCTTTGAGAAAAAACAGAACAGATATATTATCCAAATGGTTAGCTCATTCTATTAACTTTATGTATCAAAAGTCAAAAGTTGAGCTTCTGTTCCTTTTGTTTTTGCTACTTGGACAATGTCATTGAGCTCTTTTAACCGTGGGAGAAGATCTAAATAATCATGTATCCAAATATTAAAGCATCATTTATACTGGGATGAGATATTATATTAACCCCCGGAGCTCCTTCCTTCAACCCTAGGAGTTTGTTCCTGTATCAATGGATTAACCTTTTAAGCCTATAGAGTGAGAACAAAATGTTATATTATATGCGCTTATTTAGTAAGGCTTCTATCTTTTGTGATTTAAATTTGTTTGTCTTAGAGGGGCATTGATTTGTTTTGGATGTTGAGTAAGGAGGGAGCCATTGATCATTGTTAGGGTCCGACTAAATTGTTGTAACAAACATAAAATCATAAATCAGTTATGGTTACTTCCCCATTTATTGAAATTGTTTGTACCACTCAGTTAGGTTTTAATTCCTTCATCTAACTTGTCCTTAGACATATAAATCTCATCCAGACTTTTTGGAGATGCTATAGGGGGCTCTTCAGTCAAAGTGAGAAGTGCGGCTGTTGTTTGTGCTACTTTGAGATTCTTTTGCACTATCTTGGCGTGATAAAATAATTTCATCATTTTTTTACCCATTATTCCATAAAACTGTTAATTGGAGTCAGCTTGCTGTTATTTATACATTACCATTTTAGCATTTTTTCTTCTATAATAATTTAGTGGTATCATGCGTTTTTCATCTTCTTATCATCACCATGAAATGTACAATATCTTGATTTCTCACACAAAATGTTGAATGCCAGGTTGCAGACCCCCAAAAGAAAAAAAAGGGCATATTTGGGACGAAGGGGGGTGATAAAGAGGTAATCATATTACTATATTTTACGTTGTATATCTTATTTCTATTTTCTGAATTTTCTTGGTTATTGCAATTCACATCTTTTTTCCTTTTAAGTTGAGGTAAGCATGGAGTGTCATTTTAAATTTTCCGTGGACCAATCTCCCATTGTTTTGACATCCAACAATCATCGCACATATCTCCAAATTATTGAGTGGATGCTTCAATCTTCATCCTTCTATGTGTATTCTTGATTCAGTAGATTGCTATATTGATGAGTTATCTTTCAGATAAATTAGCTGCAAACCTGCAACGTCTCAACATCTAAGTTGAAATTGAGCCTGAACTGTTTCAATTTCTTCCACCCTATCAACAATTTTCTTTATTCATCTAAAGATCATCTACTAATATTTACTGTTTTGGAACTTTGAATATATTTATCACAATGATGAATGTTTACTAGATAATGTGATGCAGTGCCTTACTGCTGTATGCGTTCTTATGACACCGTGTCTTCTTTAAATCCCAGTTCAATTTTATTACTGTCTGTTGCATTTATTTTCTTTTTCCTTGTATTTTTTTTTGTGTTTATTGTACTTCGATTATGAATGTTGGTCTATCTTTGGTGCATATTTATATCAAATTGAAACCCATAGAGAGCTCATATACCTATACATTTTTGTATAATTTAGTTCTTTTTGGTGGCATCATGACTATGTAAGTAAGTATGCTGTTGACCTCTTTTTATGCTGATGATAACTTATCAGTCTATCATTCGGAGCAATTTGCAATATGCAGCCTTAAGTGCTTTGAGAAGACTTCCTCTAGATCCAGGAAATCCTGTATTTCTTCACCGTGCTGTACAAGGGTTAGCCACTTACCTTCTTTGATGCTTTTATTATGTGGACTTATGGACTGCGAGCATAACTAACGAAATAGTCATGTTATAACTTTCATGGTATCTGATACTGTGCTTCTCTTCAAACCTGATCAATTTAGTGATTGTCTTTGCTGTGATTATTATCTAACATTACACTGGCTTGTTATCCATTGTAAAAATATTCAACACGTAAATCTTCACTGGTATTAAATTTCTAAATAATATTTTGCAATCTAGAAATATTCACTATGGTCATTGTGTATTGATTATCACTGTCCATTTAAATGTTTTCTTAAACACTTCTCTCAAGTTGGAAGTTCCTCAGTCTCATCGTTCCTCAAACATTTTGTTATCCATTTCATAGAGGTCTTATATTTCCCTTGGATATGGTTTGTTTTGGAACTTGACAAACTGCTCAATGACTTTAGACAATGCATGACAAGATATTTCTGCTGGAAGAATCACAGAGACATATAACACCTTTCTTATTAATTATAAATGTAACTCATTAAGATAGCCAAGTCTTTTTAGGTTCAAAACGAAGAATATATTCTGGCAAGTTAATTATGGTGCTGTTATTAAATGAATCTGTTTAACATCATTGATAAAGTTGATACAAAGAAGAATATTGTATCCTTTCTGCCAATGATGACACAGTAGATAATTTATCAAGGATAACTAATGACTTGTGTCACTGTATCATTTCAAACTTCAGTCATTGTGGCATTGTGAATTCTATGTAATTCAAATTTCTATGCTCGCATAAGCCACACACACTACCATCTCTTCACTTTTAGTTGTATACATGCTTCAAAAATTAATCATTCTCCCTGTATATTGTTTGTTTCATCATGCAACTATTATATTAATATAATATTATCTATAAATGAAATATATATAAAATACAAAATCAAATCGACACATGCATTTTGATATTATCCGTTTTGTATATGACAAAAATATACCCCTCTTCATATTTTTTTTAAAAAAAAAGGTTGCCAAACATGTTTGTTTTCTGCCATGTATGTCAGTAATATGTTGGATGGAGATTCAAAGTAGTTTCCCTGTACATGCAGACTTATATAGTTTTGGATGCCAACGTGCTATCTCCTGTTGTTGCAGTGTTTCGTTCTCTGATCCAGTTGCAGTAAGGCATGCACTGGAAATTTTATCAGAATTATCCACAAAAGATCCCTATGCAGTTGCAATGGCATTAGGTAAATGTGATCAGTTTGAAGTTTAACCAATTCTTTAAAACTTACTGGTGGTGGTGGTGTTTCTTTGTAAAGTTTTTAATATTTGACAGTGCACTTATTGAACTTTCAGTAGTGTTTTAGGTAGTTCTGTGATAATTAAGTAGAGCATGCTTCAATTATTGCGAAGTTTATTTCTGCCTTTCTGTTTATCTGGGGATTCTGTAGATACTTTTATTTATGAACTGTTGTGTTGTTTCATTTCTTCTTTTTAAATTACTCTCTAAAGGTGTTCGAGAGAAATTATTAGCTAGGTCAAGATAAATGATCCAAATAGATTGCTAAAACAAAATGTCCATACCCATACACAAATAGTGTAATGGCTTTCCCTTTATTGAACTTAAAGGAAAAGAGGATTTATTTTCTCTAATTCAAAAATAATTGATTGGGGAATCAATTCTCTATTGTGAAGGCCTTCTCGTGCAGCCGTGAATCATCTGGACCATCTGAAAGGTGTAATGATGTTCCATAATCCTAATATAAATTTGTAAAAATATCATATTGAAATTACAGTTTGTACGAAAATCTATTTTATACCATATTAATTTTTAGAGGCAACTTTTTTATTGTCTTAAGAGTAAGTGGCTAATTTGCTTTCATAGTTTAAGTAGAATTAGTTCTGTTGGCATAAGATGCTCAAGAATAGAATTAATTTTAGTAGCAATACGGTACTATGTCCATGCAGTTGGTTGTCTTAGGTTGAGGTAGATTTTTTTGACATTTCTTTCTCTTGGTTTTTGATGTCTGCAGGCACACATGCGCAACCTGGTGGTACGGCCTATATTCCTTGGCTTCTCATTTCTTTATCAACTTTCCTTGAATTTCTTTAATTATTATAGAAGTTTCTATCAATCAGGCGCTCTGCAGGATGTTCTCCACTTGCACGATGTTCTTGCCAGAGTGGCACTTGCTAAATTGTGCCATGCATTGTCTAGAGCTCGAGCTTTAGATGGTACATTTTGTTTTAAATTCTAATGTTAACTTCCATTTATTGAAATTTGAGTGTGATAACAGATGCAAGTGTAATGATATCTGAATGTTTTCTGTGCAGAACGTCCTGATATCAAGTCTCACTTCAACTCTATCCTGTATCAACTTCTTTTGGACCCTAGTGAAAGAGTTTGTTTTGAGGCTATACTTTGTGTACTGGGCAAATTTGATAATTCAGAGAGGTGCATAGAACAATTATGCTGTTTGAAACTTTCACCCAACTTATATTTTGGTGGTTGATAATTGATAAGTATATGATTGATATAACCATACGTACATTATTGATTATTTACAAAACACGACCAAGTTTATATATTTTTCTCTATTGCTCTATCCAGGACTGAGGAAAGAGCAGCTGGGTGGTATCGGTTGAGTAGGGAAATGCTCAAGATTCCAGATGGGCCTTCTGCAAAGGACTCTAGTTTGGAAGATGGATCTCAATCAAAATCTACAAAAGATAAATCTTCGAAGACAAAACGTCCTCAACCACTTATCAAACTAGTCATGCGGAGGTCAGAGCTTCTTCTATATAAACATATGAGTTGATTTGTGCGCACTTTTTAGAAATCAGTTTTTATGTTCATATTGTCACAGAATGGATTTTGGATGAGCATCAATTTCTTTTTGTGTTTATTTTCAGGATGGAAAGTTCTTTTCGAAGTTTTTCACGGCCAGTATTGCATGCAGCTGCAAGGGTTGTACAGGAGATGGGAAAAAGTCGTGCAGCTGCTTTTGCATTAGGATTACAAGATATTGATGAAGGGGTTGAAGTTAATACGTTTTCCGAAAATGATGCATATGATCCAGACATAAATCCTACTGCACCATCTGAAGGTAGTTTAGTTATGACTATGTGGCCAACATAATATATCCAGCTTTTAGTTAATCTCTTTCATTTCTTTTGCTTAGATTATTCTAAGCGTAGTCTCTGATTTAAAATTCAAACCAATCTTTACTGGTTTCTGCACTTCACAGTTCGAGAAGGTTCCTAGTCTGTCTGCATGCCTGCAGTGTTGCCAATTCAAAATATTGCTTGTAACTTTTCCTTGATTAATATTACTATCTGCTTAACTTCCTTCTTAATGCTGCACTAATTATCAGGTAATTCAGTATAAAATGGTAGTGTAAAGTAAATGCTGCCATTGAATTTCTTCAAGACCTTGAAATTTTTAATCCTAATCATCCATGTATTCTAAGAAACCTTAAGTTTCTTCATCTGCAAAATAGGAGTACCTGATATATTACCAATTCCTTCTAATAAATGTTCCCCAGAATGTTAGTTGATAGAACTGCTTAGTTAAGCATAGCCAAGTTTTAGTTGCAAATTGGATTTTCTAAGGACCTTGAACTTGGTTCAACTGTAAAACACGACTTACCTAATATGTTGCCTAATTTATTATTATTATTATTTTCCAATAAATCTGCTTCACAGCAAGCTAGTTGATAAAGCTTCTTATTAAGGCAGAGTTTTTGCAAATTGGATATATAGCAGCTGAACATTGCAAGTATGACATTTTCCTAAGTATGCTAAAATCCTGGATAATCATAAATAATAATGCGCCTCAACATTCAAACTTCTTAATCATTTGTTCTTTGCCCTGGATTAGGTGCAATATACTATCAATTCAGTCATCATTCTTACAATGCTATGCAGAAAGATTTTGTTTCCAAAGCATCAACTAGTAAAATTGATCAGTACTTGTTTTTCTTTCTTAAATTGACTTTCTGTCTTAGCTATTTCATTTTATCTGTTTCAATTTTTTGCTCTAAGGTTCTCGTAAAATTTCTGCGATATCAAACGGGATGGGTCCTAAGGACACAGTTGCAAATATGCTAGCTTCACTAATGGAGGTTGTACGAACAACTGTTGCATGTGAATGTGTTTACGTGCGTGCTATGGTGATTAAAGCACTCATATGGATGCAAAGTCCATATGAATCTTTTGATGAACTAAAATCCATCATTGCATCTGAGCTCTCTGATCCATCTTGGCCGGCAACGCTGTTGAATGATATATTGCTGACGTTGCATGCTCGCTTCAAGGTACTTAGGATGTGTAAAGAGTACAATTTTTCCTATTGAATATGGTCTTTTTCCAGTTGTATGATGAATGTGGTGTAGACTAATCGTAATATTTGGACATTTATTACTGTTGAGAGCCTTGAATTAGCATGAAGACCAGTATGGAAACTGTTTGTCACTTAGCTATGTTGATTTTTTGTTGTAGATTTGCAATTTTTTGGGTGTATACATATATTCTGGAGAGTAGAATCATTTTAATGATATGGAGCCAAATTTTTAGCTGCATAGATGAAAGACCATGAAAAAAAGAGGCAATGATTTGGTGTATGTTAATATGGGAAGGAGGTACTTGAATCCAGTGGAGCAATTACTGCATGTAATTCGCATTATGCAAGACTAGAAAGATGTTATTTTTTAATAAAATTAAGTTGTGGTGCACTAGGTGGATCGAAAGAAATTCTAGACCTTGTCTTGTATTTTCATGGTTTCATGATTATTTCATTTTTTATATCTTGATTCTTCGCTCATGGGTTTTGTATGCACCTTTTATATCTTGATTCTTCGCTCATGGGTTTTGTATGCACCTTTTATATCTTGATTCTTCGCTCATGGGTTTTGTATGCACCTTTATGCTGGAGGATAAACATCACTGTTGCTTGTGGTATTCTTACCTCCCTCTTTCCTTGTTTGTTATGGTTAGGCTACCCCAGATATGGCAGTCACTCTTCTTGAAGTTGCTCGAGTATTTGCCACTAAAGTTCCTGGGAAAATTGATGCTGATGTGCTCCAACTTCTTTGGAAAGTATGCCTAGGCAATGCTATTTAATGGTTTGTAGCTGCTATCGATATGGTATAATTTTTGTTGTCTAATGCTTGTGTATTCTGTAGACTTGTTTGGTTGGAGCTGGACCAGAAGGAAAACACACAGCTCTTGAAGCTGTTACAATAGTTCTTGATTTATCACCTCCCCAACCTGGCTTAGTCACAGGGCTTACCTCTATTGATAAGGTGTCTGCATCTGATCCAAAGTCAGCACTTGCTTTGCTGAGATTAGTTCAAGCAGCAGTAAGTTATTTGATATTATAATATGTTTCTTGTTTATTAGATTGGTTAAAAGTTTCGTCAGGTGCACAGATGATATTTTTCCTTTGTGCTACTGTTTGTGTGCATTTATTTTTCTCCCCAAACACTTACAGGTTTGGTTCCTTGGAGAAAATGCAAATTATGCTGCTTCTGAATATGCTTGGGAGTCAGCAACCCCGCCGGGGACTGCATTGATGATGTTGGATGCAGACAAAATGGTTGCTGCTGCAAGCTCTCGTAATCCTACACTTGCTGGTGCTCTAACTCGACTTCAAAGGTGTGCTTTCAGTGGCAGCTGGGAGGTGTGTATTTTGTGTTCCTTACCTGAAAAAATGGTTACAGTCTTTTTGCAAGGTTCAATTATGATGATTTATGAGGCATCCTTCTTCTGGAATAATTTTGTTGTTGTAAGTTGCAATCGATTTTTTGCTCCCACCCTCTTCAAGCCACTGCAAACATGCTAAGTAGCTTTAACATTATGAAGAAAATTGTTTGCTATCAAATGATGATAAGATCTTACTATGTATACGAACCATATATATAAAAGTTTCTGATAAAATAAATAAATAAATAAATAAATAAAGGCCTCCCACGTCATTAGAGGAAGTAACTTAAGTTGAGCAAGTTATTTGAATTCTCAAGTAATATGACTGGCCATATTTCTGGTCTCTTTGAATTTTTGTGATGACTAACTTTGAACTGAAACAATAAATTTACTTTGATTGGTTAGCTGATTCCGTAATCCAGTAGGCAAAGTGATTCTTGTAGTTGGCAGTTTCTTGAAAGATCAAGTGGTATATAGGACTTCACCTGTGGTTGAGTAAATCCACTTCCTTTCCAAAAAAAATAAAAAAGAATACATGGTTGAAATATATTTGAATTCATCTGGGCTAAACTTGAACTTTATCCAACTGATTTGTTTGCTCCAGATTCGCATTGTGGCCATTCAAGCTCTTACCACTATTGCAATTAGATCTGGCGAGCCTTATAGGCTGCAGATCTATGAATTTTTGCACACTTTGGCTCAAGGTGGTGTTCAGTCACAGTTTTCTGACATGCATACAAGTAATGGCGAAGACCAGGGAGCAAGTGGCACAGGCCTTGGATCTTTAATAAGTCCTATGTTGAAAGTCCTAGATGAAATGTATAGTGCACAAGATGAACTCATAAAGTAAGCTGTTTCTTTTCTTTCTTTCTTTCTTGTTTTTTTTAAACCCCCTCCATCTCTGACTTTCTGAAAGAAAATCTAACTTCTTTTGGTTCTTAAATTTTTAGGGAGATGCGCAATCATGACAATGCCAAAAAGGAATGGACAGATGACGAACTTAAGAAGCTTTATGAAACTCATGAGAGGTTGCTAGACCTTGTCTCTCTGTTTTGCTATGTTCCTAGATCAAAGTATCTGCCTCTGGGACCAACAAGGTGCTTCCTTTTCTCCTCTTATGCTTCAACTATTTTCTGATAAGCTAATCCTTATGGCTGCATATCCGTTGCTTGTTCCTAAAATTATAACTATTATAGGCACCCTACAAAGATTTTTAAGAAAATATTTATAATGCTAGTTAAACATGTTACCTTTCTGTTAGATATACATTACAATGACCTCTTATTTAGAGTTGAAACACAGATTCCACAATAGTAGATCACTAGAATTACATCACTTAGATATCTTTCTCTTAGGGATTGGACAGCTTTCATTGGTTATTTCCATGTTCATACCCTTTCAAATCTAATTTGATTTCCAATCTCTGTTTCAAGTTGAATGTGAATAATTATTGGAAGGATGAACATGGAGTTCAGACCTTTTCTGATATATTCAAACTAATTAGCAAGTACTTTATAGATTGTAGAAGATTGTACACTAGCTATTTTAGGTCATGCTAGCTACTTTTGTGAAGGATAAGGGGCCTTTTTTCAATTGTGATTGACACCCTTTTATAAACATGTTTCATGTTTAAGGATTTGTAACATGAGTTCCTCTTACATGTGAGGACATGGGGGATTTGATATCAAATGCTACACTTTTCACACAGCTTATGCTTATGCCTCTGTACATGGTGGTCATTCAACATAGTCTCTCTTCTCGTTGATTGTTTTTGTAACTTTTGGTCTCTATAAATGTTACTACAAAATGCTCAATTTGGAGAAAAATTCCAATCTGACTATGTTCTGTTTGGTTATGACATTGGAACAGTGCAAAACTGATTGACATCTATCGCACTCGACATAATATAAGTGCATCAACAGGCCTCAGTGATCCTGCTGTTGCCACAGGCATTTCTGATCTTATTTATGAAACATCCAAGCCAAAGATTCCTGACTTCATCTATGAAGCTACCAAGAAAAAGTCTAATGAGCCAGAACCACTTGATGATGACCTTGTTAATTTTTGGGCAGCAAACCTTGGTGATGATGGTGCGCCTGCCATGAACAGGGTAAGAGTCTACCAGTCTCTTAAAATATAACAAATGGAATTGAGTTAAATCTATTCAGACAGTTCAATATTAATACATGAAGCATGCTCTGCATGTTTAAAATTATGGAATGACTAATTCAGAAAGTAGATTATCCAATTGGGAGGTTATATGCGCTACATCATGGAAGCCTGACGTGTTGAGTCTGTTTCCAATTAGAGCTTAGCATACTAATCACTTGGGTAGGGAGTAGGAATTTGCACCAAGCCTGGATTCGAGTGCTATGGATTTGGATCCAGAAATCCAGTGGAAACAGAAGCCATTATTTTTTTACTAGTCATTTATGCTTATAATATATTTATATTCTACAGATATTTGGATATCTATTACTAAATTAGAATATTATTTAGTTTCTGAATATATTTTATATAATTATAAGGCTGTGGTGTTATTATATATTCATGCAACTCTTTCTTAATAATTTGGTTGATATCTTACAGCAGATTTTTCATCTCTTAACTGTAACCATTGTAACTCAGTTAAGTCAGGACTGAGAGGTTAAGTCAGTATCTCAGTTATACTATGGGGTGGGGTGGGTTTGGCTGTTTGACAGACTTACATTGTCTGTCATTTCCACTGAAGAGCAGCACTCTGCTGCTTATTGGAGGTTTTTCATGTTTCTTCAGTGTACAACTAAGTTTGCATATGCAATTGCCAATCTATGTTATTCACTAAGATCATGTCACATGAAATTTTAATGTGTCGAGGAAGTGGTTATGTCATTCTATATATTTTTAAGTTCTTTCACATACCTTCAGATGCCCAAACTATATTCGTTTAAATAGAAGTTTGCATGGAAATTGTTGAGTGTAGGGATGGATTCTGACGGCATTCTCATGAAAACAAAGTAGTAGGGATTTGTTTGTTAGCCATGCTCTCTGCCCTTTATTTGAAGATCTCATATTTATTCTGTATGTTAGGTCAATGAATTTCTAGCTGGCGCTGGTACTGATGCTCCTGATGTTGAGGAAGAGAATGTTATTTCTAGACCTTCAATGAGTTACGATGATATGTGGGCTAAGACTCTCCTGGAAACTACAGAAATGGAGGTTAGGTTTCCTGCTATGCTGTACAGCATTGGTCTCTTAAGTCTCTGTGAATGGACACCCTGTTATTGAATATAACAATTTTTTGCAGGAATATGATGCCAGATCATCTGGCTCCTCATCCCCAGACTCAACTGGATCTGTCGAGACATCGATATCCTCTCATTTTGGAGGAATGAACTATCCATCGTTATTTGGTTCAAAACCTTCTGGATCCTCTCAGTTCAAGGTATGGGAAATCTCGGAAAGAAAACTCATCATAAAAACCAACCATTTTAAACAAGGACGAACTGACTCGTTATTTAATTTTTCAGATTGTTAGCTTTAATGGTTTAAATTCCGTCGAGAGTATATGAAGAAATGTGATATATAAATAAACGTTCTAATACAAATCCCAAAATTATAGATCTGCAAAAAATATGTCCTTCCTTTTCAATAAAAAAGCATATAATTTATTTTATTGGTAAAGAAATCGTATATTTTCTCATGTGACCTTCTAAGGGTTGTTAGTTGAAATGCATCAAAGAAACTCTAGATATCTTTTGTCGTTTGTCTTTTGAGCTACTGTTGAAAAGATAGATTGCACTTTCTCTAAAGGTTACTACACTCAAAACAGTTCCTCGTCTACCCGCTGAAACGTTGACTCAATTAAATATCAGCTGCACGATATATGACACTTTTGAGTTGCCAATGCAGGACAAATCCAGTGGAAGCCGATATAGTGGATATGGATACGAAGCTCCTGCATCCCCGGTTGTCCCCAGAACCCATTTCTTCCACGTTTAATGATACAAAGATAAGAAAGTCTTATCTGTGGTTTTTCTGCAGATAACCGAAGAACCTCCTCCATATTCATCTCCTGATCACAGAAGATTCGAGTCATTTGAGAATCCCTTAGCCGATGAAGGGCGACCTTCTAGTGGTAACCCACAGTTCGGGACAGCACTTTACGACTTCACTGCTGGTGGAGACGACGAGGTGAGTTCAATTTACATCCCTTTTGGCTCAATCGCACCGTACTAAACCATACCAATTCGTTTTTGTTTATATGTTTTGCAGCTTAATCTTACAGCCGGCGAAGACGTTGAGATTGAAGATGAAGTAGATGGTTGGTACTACGTAAGTACTATCACAAACTTTCAGGCTTCATGAATTATATTGGTTTGTTTGGTTTTGATTTGAGTTTGAGTCCTTTTTTTTTTTTCTAATTTGAATTTTAGTTTAAATAGTATTTTGATGTGATGTCTTATAAGAGTAAATAATGTATTTTTATTAGGAACACTAAAAAGCTGTAAAATTGGTTTGAAATCATAACCAAACACACTCTAAGTTTCCTACAAATAATGATTTCCAACTCCTATCTTCTATATTCAATTCGTCATTCAAATGTGTGTTCAAACTTTTTAGCACATGTTTAAATATGAATGTGTACTTTTTATTCTTTTTTATAGTTAAAAAAAAAAAAGAATAGTGTGGTTTTTACTAATAAAAAGAAATGAAAATATTTTTTTAAATGAAGATAGATATTTGGATGAGAAGTTTGTCCATTGATGCATTTTTGATCTTAGTAACATGTTTGGTTCCTCAGGTGAAGAAGAAACGCCCCGGGAGGGATGGGAAAATGGCTGGGCTGGTACCGGTGCTGTATGTCAGCCAGTCGTGAAGTTCATTTCCGAATTCTGATTCATCGGACCGAGGTATGGCTGGCTAACACATACTGTCCTTTTATTGTTGTTATATTTTAATATGTAATCGGGTCGGGATACTTCATATTCGAGTTTTTAGCTAGTTTTGAAGATGCGGGTGTTTTTGTAGCGATGAGTTTTTTGGATGCATATATATATATTATTATTATTATTATTGTTTAGTGTATGTATATCATCTTCTACTACAAATTGGTTGTTTCTGCTTACTGATTGATTGGTTGATGATATGATTGTATGCATATTTTTCATTTCAACTAGTGTATGTCAACTGCTTTCCACAATTTACATTGCAGATTTTTGTGTTATACACGAGTGAGTTTTTTCTCTTTTCTTTTTCAATGGAAAATGGTACGTTCTTTTGGAGCTTGATTTATTTTTTTGTTCGAATAAGTAAATCATGACAGATATATAATAAAAAAAATTAAAATATGTTTTTTTTGTTCAACATTAATGTTTGTATATTCAGTTCATATATATATATGGCTGATTCAATGTGTTAAAATATAAATTTATATAGTGACAGTGAATTTTTAGGTTCAAAGGCAATTAAGTCTTGTAAGTGAAGATCCAAAAATAGAAAATATAGTTTCTGTAACATGACAGAGAGTATATTAAAATATGAAGTATCAAGCCATGTGCATTAACTTTGTGTTTTCCTTTTCTTTTCTTGATTATCTAAAACGAACAATTTAATTTTACAAAGACATGTAGTATTTATTATTTTTGGGTTATGTACAAACAATACATTGTTTCTAAAACTAGCATTGAATTGAAGAATCTGTCACAAAAAAACTCATTGATTTAGTTAAAAAGAAGGAAGCATAATAGACAATCAAATTTTACACTCCAAATATAATTCAATGTCCATGGCACGAAAACAATAATATGATCCAGCAATGTACCAACGTCGTACCCAAAACCCAATTCAATTAAATTCATTTCTCAATATATATATATATATATAGCAAGATCTCGATACCCGACATGACGAGACGGGCCCGAAGTTAGATTGAAACAAGAAAGATCGAAGATGACTTAAAAACAGAAACCATACGACGCAAAAAGCTCCTACTGACCTTCGTCCATTGTGTCACCGCCATGAGATGAAGTTTGAGCTTTCAAGTCTTTGTTGCTTTCCTCTGCTTTTCTTTTCGCAACAGAATCTTCGAGCGCCTCCAGAAATGACAGAACTGTTAACTTGTCTGAAACGAGTATGAAATCGGATGTCAATTCGAGGACCAACAGGTAATTTTTATTTTATTTTTCGAGAGTTTCTGGTTACATACATTTAGTGGGATCAATCTCGAACTGAGTCAGATCAACTTGCCCGGTACGCAGGACCTATAACACAAATACAAATCAGTTAAAATTGTCGCCAAAAGCCTAAGAAGATAAAAAAAAAAAAAAAAGGGAAAAATGGAGCCTCACATAAGTAAACGAATCTAATTGCTGGCGGAACGGGGGGCTTTGTAGCAATTCTAATACCTCGTCGGGAGTCCATTCACCCTGAAATCACGGCAAGCTTAAGAACATAGTGAATGTAAAAAAATTTGGATAGCGAAATGATTCACAGATGCGATATATTGCTTACCTCAGGCAAATACGACAACAATTGTGAATCTAACGGTATTTCATAAATAAGCGGCCGCATTAACTCTGGCTTCAATATGTCACCTAATCCCAAAGCTGGAAAACCGAGAAGTGATAATAATTTTTACCGATATAAAATACATTCATGGAAAAAACACCAAACAATAGTAGCATAGTTGCAACGTAACATATGAATTGAACCAAAGGGAAATTTGGGTTTCTAGTGAAGCAAAGTACCGTTAATTTAAGCATCAAAACAGTCAATATCCGATTTTTCAAATGCAAACGACACATCGATTAAGGAAATTTTACTCGGTGCAAAGATACCATTTCTTGATAAAATGGATACTTGAAAATAGGTAAGATATGGAACATACTGTTTATCTAGCTCGACAATTTTTAAAGAGATATAAACACACACACGCATATATATACATAAATTCCACAGAACACGCATATATATATATATAAACCGTTAAAAAGAACAATTCTTGAATAAGATTAGAAAGCATCGTATCGAGGAAATACAATACCTGCATCCGGATCTTCTGCTTGAACTGCATCAGAAAGCAATATTTATCACTTTCTGTAATCTAGAAAGATCCGAGCAGAGGCAACATGTAGTCATGCTAAGAATCAAAGAATACCTGCAGATCCTATGTTGTTAAGTATTCTCTGGAGATCTTCCAGCTTTACGGGTCCAGCAGAAGTTACGTCACTAGTTACTTCTGCACCTAAGCTTGGTCCAACCAAATTCCCAGCCCTTCGAAGGAGGAACAACGGCATTGAAAAATCGTTACAAAATAGTACAGTGGATTACAATATTGAAATAATAGGGAAGAAAAATAAAACAAAAAAAGCTTTCTTGGCAGGTTTTTCCGCATATCAAATTTACCGAGATGAGACATCGTCCTCAACCATTTCTTCTAAGCCTTGAATGGGAGCCGAAGCATCCGGTTCATCGTCTTCACCAGGTAGCTCTGTTTAACATTAAAATGAAAAGTAAATGCCAGTTTATGGATAGATGTAGGATTAAACCAACAGTCGAACTTATGTGTACACGGTCCATACCTAGAGGTTGATTCAGGTAATAGTTAACAGAGTCGCAAAGTTGGGAATCATTCTCAGATTTTGGCTCCTAAAACCAATCCAAGAAACAAAGACATATTAAATTTTGACGAAATCTTTAATACTAAAAATGCTCGGGAAACCAACTCATAATTTAACCTGCATCCAAAAGAAGAACTTCCGAGCATCTGCATGGAACTTCAGGATGTATACCCTTCCCGAAGATTGATTAACCTGAAGACAGAATAAAACTAGCATTAAATGTGATCTTTGATAACTTATTTGCAGAAAAATCAATGAAACCGAGAAGTACCTTTTCAAACACAGCTTCATCTGGAAAAACAATTTGGTCCTATGTTCGCATTGTGTAAAGGAATAATAACCAACAGTCGATCAAAAATGGAACAGAAAAATGGATATAATAAGAAAGAGATCGGCATCAAATGCGGATCCTCATCCTAACAACAGAAAACAAGGATACGACTTCAACAACATTTGTAGATCTATCAAGCCATTGAAAATGGACGAGCCCTTCTTCCCCCTGTTAAAGATTACAGGAGATGGTTGAAATTAAGATGAGAAATCCCACATATAAATTCATTAAATTTCGAAACTCTACAATCGAGAATGAAACAACCTTCCTACTTTCAGGAACAAATGTAAAATCTGGAGGAATAGAACACGGCAAGAAATGTAATTTCTTTTTAAATCATACCCTTCCCATACGAACAAGTCCTTTACGAGAATCGGGGAGTACTCGAGTCCCATCCATCAGCATTTTTCCAGCTCGAAATTCCAGTAGAACCTCCTGTCCAAGGGAATTCATTCACAAAAAATGAAAATCAGTTAAAACAGAAATCTAAATAGGAATCTTTTTTGTTTTCAAGATAATTCACAACAGTGCACTACCAAACGAACATTATCCAACCGAAAAGGTAAGTCATTTATCTCAACTAGAAAAAAAGCCTCCACAGATTCCAAACTTCCACAACACAATAAAATCTTCAATGGCATCTCAACCCCCTTCGACAAGCCATCCATGATTACCACAATCAAACAAATTCAACCATTGCTGAAAACTGAATAACAATCAATCAAAATAAGCAATTTATACTAAGAACAAGACGAAAAATCGACTCAGTGCAGTCTATTCAAAATTCAATTGAATCACATATCTTCCCTAACTAACGACAATACACAACACTAACATCAACATCAACATTAACTCAGTGCACAAAAATGGCGTCTCAATCACTAAAATCATCGCTCATATAACACAACTACCAATTTGGCATCTCATAAACCTTAGCAGACTGTAATAATCAACCAGTTTTCCGAAACCATTGAAGCTATTAAAAATTGAAACGATTCGAAAGCATTTCTAACAAACCTGAATACTAGTAAAGGCGTCAGTCGCTGAAGAACCCATGGCCACAAGCTTCTCTATCAGCCTATAACAATCCTCTTCCCAAAATCACTGCCTAGGAAAAGAATTAAATCAAAAAACTTACAAAAAAGGGGATTGCAATTAGAAAACCTAGACAGCACATGAAGCAAAAATCAGCAAAAAAATCACATTTAATTTCTTGTATAACCATAAATTAACAATCATTCCCTCCCCCGCAGCCGAACCACCGCCGAAATTCCTCGAAGGTACAACGACGATTACAAATTTACAATCAAAAGGTTCGAAACAACTGCGTTTCGGAGAGTGTAAAGAAGGTAATATAAGATTCGTAAACCCTCGGTCGCAGTTAACGAAGGGATTAAGGCGGAGTGATACGTATAGATTTGTAACACAAAAGATAATCATGGATTCACCTACCCCGCGTTTTGATGGATGTATGTATGTATGTATTGATATGTGCAGCAGCCCAGAGAGAGGGAGAGAGAGAGAGAGAGAGGAGAGAGATTTAACCAAGATTTTGAGAAGACGTTGACGTAAATGGGTCGGGTCGGGTTGGGTAGGAACATCAATCTGGGCCTTGCTTTGTTACTGTGAATCACGATCTGTTGGCTTTTATTTTGGATAATCATGATACGTTTTTTTTATTATTATTATTATATAATTTCAAACTATCTATTTTTTTATATAGTAGATATATATATATATAATTATTGCCCCCATGTTAATTTTTTTACCATTAAAAAAATATTAATTTATTTTTTAAAAAAATTATATTTGATCAAATGAGTATAATTATATATTTTCTTCGTCTATTTTCTAATATTTTAAATTTTTTAAGTAATTAGATTTTTTTTTTGTAAATTGACCAAATAAGCCTTATTTTACGTATAGATATAAAATAAATAAATAAAGTAAAAGTAAAAATATAAATTTTACTTAGACAATCATAAATTAAACAGAGTATTATAATAAATAGAGTGAGTATTTTATTTTAAAATAATAAAAATAATAAATTAAAGAGTGAAATATTATTTAGAATTTGTGTTTTTTATAGATTTGAAAAAATTTTGATTTGAGTTTGATATTAAAATAATATATTATGAAATATTTTATAAAAAAAATATATATATTTTTTCTTTTTAACACACCTATAGTGCAAATTATAAAAACATATTTTAGGGGTAAAAAAACACACCCTTAATTAACCTAATATGAGGCGTCTCGGAACTATGACTTCACATCATTTTTGTTTTTATTTTTTATTTTTTTTATTTTCTATATTTCAACAATAAAAAGAATTTCATATCAAAATATTAGAGATAAATTTCTTTTGTAAAATTGTTTAAAAAATTAGATTTTTACACAAATATATGAAATTATATATATAATATAAAAATAATTGATAAACATAATCAAGTTATTAATTTTTGTAAAAGAATAAAAAATATATATTTCATAAAAATAATAATAATAATAGTATGAGATAAATAGATCGAAGTATAATAATACTGTGAAGCAGAAGTAGCGACTTTAGTTCTTCCCTTTAACGTTTCTTCCTTTGGGAAAAGGGAAGCCTTACCCTCGGCGGAATCACTCTCCTCCGGTCACCGCCGGATGCAGCAGCTACGGCGAGAGAAAAGCTGGCAATTATGAAAGAATTGGTGCAACTCTGGGACGAAATTGAACGTGCGGAAAGGTAAGCCCTCTGTGTTTACCTATTTCCCTTTTTTTCAAGGTTTCTGCGATTCTCTTTTATTGCGGCAATTTTTTGTTGTTCACAGTTCGTCTGGCTATGTGTGTGGTATCGCAGTTGTCTCGTTTGCTGCCTGTTTGATGAAGCGGCATCTTTGGCATCGTCTATTCTCAGACGGTTGATTGAGAATCGTAATCCTAGCGACGGAGGACTCGAAGTTTTGGAGGATTACGAAAATGAGTGGAGTGACATGGTGGAATCGGCAGGCATGGTTTTGGTGCAATCCATGAAGCAATTGCGAAGGTAAAGAGGATAGTTGCTTGAATTATTTGTGTGTGTTGCATTCTGCAGTGTAATATTGCTTTATTGAATTGTTTCACTTTTTGTTATTGATTTTTTCCTCTTTTCTGTAACTGCAGGACTTCAGAGATAGTGAAGGATCTGAAACTGTTATTTGGTTCACTTTCTGCCATTCCTGTTCAGGTTTTCCTTTCTGGGTAATTGATGCTTTTGTTCTTATTGTGGGGAGATTGAACTCCTTGTTATATGCTTTTTGTTATATATGCTACCACTGCTCTGTAATTCTGCATTTACATAATACCGGCGCAGCTGCGTGCAACGGCAGATTGAAGGGCTTTTAAATTGAATTATATATTACTAGTAGGTTTGGATAATTAGATTTTGCAATATAATATTATGTTCAATTATTTTGACAAATGTAGATTTTATACTATTATATTACTGTATACTACAGCTACTTCTAGCTATAGAAACGAAATGAACATTGTGCAATATGATGATTATACAATGGAGAAAATAAATGAAAATGACGAAAAAGAAGAATAATAAGAGTATTCATACAAAAGTAGTAGTGAAATGGTGAAAATGAGAAAGAAAGCTATTTATAGATTTTGAACTTATGCTTATAATTATCTAGGAATTATGATTATATCTTTTTTGCAATTGTTTAATTATAATTATGAAACTAATCTATAGATTTTTTTTCTGTATGTATAATAATTTTGATATGCATATTCTTAAACTTTTAAATAGCGGTCATCCCACTATAGCATTTTAGAGATTGACCGCTATCTAATGCTATCCGAGATCAACAACTATGTTTAGGATGCTGCAACTTGTTTTTGTAAATCTATTATTAATGTGAATAATGTCCCAGTGATTAATACATATTCAAAATTGTTGCATGTCAAGATATGAATGGTTAATATGTGCTTTGCTTTATAGGATTTGCTTCCAAATGTCGGAGAGCCCATCGACTTCTGTTCAGAGTTCTCTTGAGGAATTCTTGAACGGTTGGAAATATGTGGATGGTCAATATTATCCTATTTTGGATGCCGAAGCTAGTGGATCTGACAGTGAAGGATCTTCCTTTAGGTCTTCTATAGGAGTCGATGAGTATCTAGAAGTGGTTGAGCTCCACGTTATAAAGCTTCTTGCTATGACCTTAAAAGACACGGATCATGCTATTTCATGGGTAGAAAAAACTCTGCTGCCAATGGAGAAACGTCAGGTGTGATGATGGCTATTTTTTCTTAGTTTCCTTTACATTGTATTTGTTTGAAGCAACTGTTGTAATTAAGAATACTTATATGCTCTTGTGGAGCTATCATCTTTTCACGGGAAGGAAAAGTTGGCAATTGGTAGATATTTTTGAAAATCTATAGAAAGTTAAACTGGGACATGATATTATTACGTGACCTTAGTTCCATAATGTTATATACACATCTTCACATATGACAATGCAATTTCTGTACTCTATTCTTTTTTGACAAATAGGCTAGCAGTCGTTGCCGTTTTTCCAAAATCTTCTTGTAACCTTTACTCTAATTAGTATACGAGTTCTTGGAACATGTGGGATGTTCGGTTTCATACTCAATGACCATGTTGTTGAAGTGATGTTTGAAACCGAATATTCTATTTTTTCTTAATATTACTTGAATTCATTTTTTCTGGTTTGCTATGATAATTGTGTCTGATAAATAGGGCATGTTTGTATTAGTTTCAATACTAATTAGTACAATCGATACTTCATTTCTAACATGGTGTCATAGCTCTGGTGGTTTTCCTCCTAATCTAAAAGTCCTAATGTTGCTACTTACTTCATTTTCTCCTGTGACTTCTCTCTTTATATCAATTATTTGAATGGCTATCTTTCTTCTATTTCAATGGGAAATTTGTTCGTTTATTTCTTTTGCATGTAAATTTGCCTGTTTCATAATTTCTCAAATAGTAAAATACCATGGTGCATCCTGATTGGTTGAATATGCATAAGTTCTACACGTTATGTTAGTGAAAGCTCTGATTCATTCTACTCGTTTCCTCAGGAACTTTTGAGACGACTGCAATCAATGAATACCTCTAAAGTCACCAGTTCATCTCAAACATCTAGGCTATCTCAGCAGGCAAATGGATCCAAATCCAATATCTCACAGCTGTATAATGGGCAGCACGGAAATATCGAATCTAAACACATTTCTCCCAGACAAAAAACAGCGAAAGAAGAGATACTACAAATGTCTCAACAGAGGCTACCATACTTACAGTGGTTTCCTACCTTCAGTTTCAAGATTGGCAACACACACATAGCTGTGCCTAATCGGAAGCTGTTACTGGTGTCTTTTCTTTTGCTCGTATATTATTCCTCCCGGAAGAAGCATGCTGCATTGAAAAGGTAAGATCTTTAATGCTTAATGGAAATATGATGTCAATGATGATTTTCAAACTTGCATGTTCCTCTACTTATTGATAGGTTTTTAATTTCGTCAAGGACATGTTTTCCGTCTTCTTTTTAAGGGGCCTTAATCATAGTACATCACTTATTATTGAAAGCATTCATTCCACCTTTGTTCTTCGACGTAATAAGGGCACAGCTCTTAACATCTAGATTAATTTCAGCCGCCATTCTACTTTATACAGTTTTAAACTTTTGCATGCGTCGTTTTTGTTAGTCTAGACAATTTGAATCTGTTAAAGCTCTAGAAGAAAATCCACAAAACGTGATCTTGTAAAAGAATTATAGAATTATCCCGTTATATTTCATTTGCATTAATATCATTTACCCATCATGAGAGCTTCAATTTCAATGCATCGGGTTTTTGTGTTCTTACTAGCTTATATATATACATATTCTCTCCCCGATGCCAGGTTTCTTGTGGAGACTGCTATGTCGTGGAAAAGGGGTTTAGTGGATTTATGGCAGCTTGCATTCTCGTACCAGGTGAACCCGTTAGCTGCTGTTCAGTCTCTCCCGACTCCCCCTCACGGAAACCGCTGATGCTATGGTACGTACAAATCAATGTATGTATACCTTATCTCAATTCTTTACTATATGACGCCGTTTGGTTTGGTTTGGTTTGGTTTGGTTATGTTTAGAGTTGTGGTTTTCACAAAATGACTTGTGTTTGTGTCACCAAGATTATTGTTGCTTTCGTTGGGTAACACCCCGCCCTTGTAGTATAGTAACTTGTTATATATCATCAATATCGGGATTGAACCTTGACCATTTCGACGGCGTGCTTTAAACCTTCTCCGTTCATAAGTATTGAGTATGTTGTACTCACATATATGTCGTGAGGACCGGGACGGAGGGAGTATATAATTTTGTAGTGCCATGTGTTACGATTTACCTTGTGTATATTTTTCTTCATAACGTCGAAACCTATTGTATTTTCGCCCGAATCTAATAATCTGTAAAATAAGCCAACAAAATAAGTTATAGTAGATGAACTATGTGCAATAGGCCAGATCAAGTTAAGTGTTCACTGAGTTCACCCATATCTTACTGGATTTGCTTGTGTGTACTTTGAACTATTGCATTAAATGTTAGTTAGTAAAATGTTAATAAATTAATCAATAGGGAACTGTTTTTTAAACTTAAATAAAAAGAAAGCCTAATAGTTGTGATTTTTTAAATTTTAAAATTTAAATAGTAATATTTTGAATTAAAAAAACAAATATGTAATATAATATTTGTGGATAAATTTCTTTTATAAATAAAAAAACATTTCAACATTTTTCCAAAACGCATGTAAACAAATCTTTTTAATTAAGGAAGGTGTCAAATTTACCGTACGGATGGCCGACCGCGTACTTCTACCACGCAGAAAATAACGGGCAGGAAACCAATCAACAAAAACCCCTTCTCTCACCAAAAACGGAAGCTCCCGATCAATCTAGACCGTCCAAATCTAGCATCTACGGAGCAGATTGATCAAGGAGCAGAGATCCCGGAACTCACTAACATTGTACAACCCCGAGTTCCCGCCTCAAGCTCTTACCGCCTCTCCCAAATCTCCTCCAAACGCCATTGTTAGAAATGCTCCTTTTCTTCCATGCTCACGCCCTTCCCTTACCCTCTGCCCCAATTCTCACCCCCAGCTCCGCCTCCTCCGCCGCCGGGCGGCCGCTCCCCGCCACCCTCAAGGCGCCGCCCAGCCACGAAGATGCTTCGGAACAAATCATTCCTCGTTGTATACCTCCTGCTCCTCATCTTCCTCCACGTCGTCGTCTCGGCCGACGAATCGGAATCCCTAATTCTCCTCAGATTCAGAAATTCGCTCTCCAACGCCGCCGCCTTGGCCGATTGGGACGCCTCCCGCCCCCCCTGCGGGAATCCGGCGTGGACGGGGGTGCTCTGCGACGGAGGTAGGGTTTGGGGGCTCAAGCTCGAGAATATGGGGCTCGGAGGCGCAATCGACGTCGAAACCCTAACTCAACTGCCGAATCTACGATTTATCAGCTTTTTGCACAACAATTTGGCCGGGAACCTCCCCAATTTCTCCAAATTGGGGTCGCTCAAGGCTGTCTATCTCTCGCACAATAAGTTTTCCGGCGAAATTGGGGATCAGACGTTCGCCGGTATGGCGTCGCTGAAGAAACTCCACCTGGCTGATAATCAATTGACTGGTACGATTCCGGCGACCCTCGCCGCGTTGCCGAGACTCATCGAGCTCGTCCTCGACCGGAATCAGCTCGAAGGAGGATTACCAGACTTTCCTCCCAACCGATTGCAGGTCTTCAACGTTTCGCACAATAAACTCTCCGGCAAAATCCCCGCCGGACTCGACCTCTTCGACGTTTCCTTGTTTTCCGGTGACTCTCTCTCTCTATCTCTCTCTCTATCTCTCTCTCTCTATATATATATATATATATATATATGTAACTGCTGTTGATCTTACTCTGCTTTTATCGCCATGTTAGAAAACAGAGAGCTATGTGGCGGACCTATGAATCCCTGCACCACTCCGAACCAAACTCCGAGCCAAGGCTCGAAGCTAACCGGCGGAACCCTAATTATCATTATCGTTGCGGCGGTTGTAGCCTTGGTGGCTTTGATTTTGCTTGCAATGGTAATTATCTTCCTTCTCCGACGCCTGAAAGATCTCCGGCAACCAAATCAGGTCGTCGCCGCCGCCGGCAAGCCTGCGGATGTCGAACAAGGCCAGACTAGGGCGGCAGCGCCATTGCCGACCTCACCGGAAACCGCCACCAAGCAGAATGTCAAACTAACCTTCCTCCAACAAGGCCGCGGCGGCGTCACCAGAAAGTTCGACATGCCGGACTTGCTCAAGGCGTCGGCTGAGCACCTTGGCAATGGAGTCCTCGGGAACTCGTATAAGGCGGCGGTCGGCGACGATGTTGTGGTGGTGAAGCGGTACAAGCGGATGAAGAGCGCGAGCCGGGAGGAGTTCGTCGAGCACATGCACCGGCTCGGCCGGCTGCGCCACGAGAACCTCCTCCCGATTGTCGCGTTCTACTACAAGAAAGACGAGAAGCTTCTCGTCACCGATTACGCCGCGAATTCCAGCCTGGCGGCGAAGATCTACGGCGACCGGAGATCGCGCGCGCTCGATTGGCCGACGCGGCTGTCGATCGTCAAAGGCGTTGCGCACGGGCTGCAGTACCTCCACGCCGAGCTGCCGTGCCTGACGCCGCCGCACGGCCACCTCAAATCGTCGAACGTCGTCCTCGACAGGGACTACAACCCGCTCCTGACGGACTACGGGCTGATCCCCGTCGTCCGTCGCGACTTTGCACAGCAACACATGGTAGCGTACAAGTCGCCGGAGTTCACCCACCACCGGAAATTAACGAAAAAAACCGACGTGTGGAGCTTCGGGATCCTGATTCTGGAAATTCTCACGGGGAAGCCGCCGGGGGGCGGCGTCGACAATCTCGACCTGGTGAAGTGGGTCAAGCTAATCGTGCAGAACAACAACGAAGCCTACAGCGGCGGCGCAGAGATGGTGTTCGACCGGAACATGGCGGGGGTGAGCCATTCGCAGGGCGAAATGTCGAAGCTGTTGAAAATTGGGCTCGAATGCTCATCGGAGGATCCCGACGCCCGGCCGGAGATCGACCGGGTGGCGGAGATGCTCGACGATGTTAAGGAACGGGAAATCGACGACGAGTTTTATTCAACGTGTTCCGACGCCGATGTGCGCTCTTCGAGAGGATTATCTGATGATTTCAAGACAATCAATTTTTAGATCATACATATGATTGATTCATGAAATTCATCGACAAGGGTGAATGAATGAATCAAGCATATAATAAATACTCTATATATACTATATTTGTTGTCTCTACAAAATTACACCTTGGGACGAAACCTAAATCACCATTACATTACACAATCTTTGGTAAAAATCACACCTTGGGAAGAAACCTAAATCACCATTACATTACACAATCTTTGGTAAAAATCAAGGTTGGTTGGTTGGTTGGTTGGTTGGTTGGTTTGTAATGAAAATAAACACAGCAGAAGAGCAGATCTGTGGAAGGAAGAAGAAGAAGAAGAAGAAGAAGAAGAAGAAGAAAGACAGAGACATTAATTCATTGATTCATTCATACCCTTTACATAAGCTAAACTAACAACCAAACAAGTATTATCCATCTACCTTCTCTCTCAAAAGGGTTTGCCTAACAATCCCTGCAAAGAATTAACCTTTTTTTCTGCCGAACCGAATTTACGAGTAGTTCGTTCTAAGGAAGACGTTCCTACCGACGAGTCTAATTCAGGCCGTTGTCGGAGCTGCTGCACGCCTGATTCAGAAGAACGTTGTTTCCGAAATCTCCATCTAAGCTCATTTGCTGGACCTCTTGCGGCGAGAGGATTTTGATGCATCGGACGCAGTTCACGAACTCCCTGAAACGAAGGACGCAGCCAATTAGTAACCATACATGAACGATCGGGGGATTGATAAGAAGAGTCGAATAATAAACGTACTCCCAAGGATCATCGCCGACTAGCAAGACGTCATTTTCATGGTCTACGTACACCAGCTTCCATCCGATTCTTTGTCTGTCTTCAAGCTGACCCTCTATCCCGAATCTTCGCGCCAAATCTTGTTTTAGCTCATCGTAGCCTGCGTAACGCGTGATGTCGATTGATCTTCCTACAGCGCCACGCTTGTAAACCTTCACGTGCAAACACAAACGAACAAGTTAGATTTACCATATCATCGCAAAGTCGCTACACAAAACAATCGAACACCTCACCTTTGTGTAAGTTCGCATCCTCGGAATCTGAGGCGGGGGAGCCCAAGCGCTTCTATTCATGAAACCGCCGTCATTTATCCCAGAATCGATGGAGTTGAACGCCATATCAGGAACTCCAAACGACTGCGAAACCATCGACGATGAGAGCTCCGGTTGGGGTTCCTTAGGATTATCGTACGCCGAAAGCATGCCATCGCCGGCCGAGATGTTATTTATTAAGTCTCGGCTAGATCCCACCGTGTCTTTAGTGATCAGCGCATCGGGCATCATCGGCATCTCTAGCTGTGCGTCAATGTTCGCCTCATACGGAAGGCTATTCCTTGTGTCGACGACGTGGGCTTCCCCGTCTTGGCCGGCGTCCCTAAACAGCATCATCTGAGAATTGAACGACAAGGAGTGGTTGTTGTTCGGCGGCGGCGGCATCTGCCCGTCATTCTGAGAAACGACCGACGTCACCGACGATGAACTGTCCAAATAGTCTACCTGACCTCCCACCGCGCCGCCGAGGTACGCTTGCGACGCGAAAAATCCTTGGTTCTGATTCTTCAATACGTTCATCGATGGCTTGACCTCGGATTTCTGCGAGACATCCTTAAGCAAGTTCCCGTTACCAGACGACGGCTCCAGTTTCGTCGGATTCAGCAAAGTGACCGAAGACTGAGCAATGTCATCGTTCAACGTCGAAGGACGGCTCTGTCTACCGGTCAGCATCGGCTGAGCTGCATTCGGACAATTGTTCGTCGAAGGTGATGTAGAACACGACGGGACTTCGTCTGTAACCGCAGACTGTCCTCTGGCAGCTCCATTCAACATACTGTTGGTAAGATGATTGTTCCCCGGATTCAACGAGCTCCCGACATGTCCGGGCAATTCCGAGAGCATTCCAGGTTGTTGCTGCAGCGACTGATGATGCTCGAGTTTCGGTTGCGGAGGTGGTGGTTGGGCGAACCGGTGAATATGTCCCGTCATCATCTGCTGGCTCGCAATATGCGGACTCGACATGGCTTGGGAGGTGTCTGGCGGTTGGCTTGTTGCCGGTGGCAGCCTGGAAAAACACGGCGGATTCTCTAGAAGCTGCTTCTGCGGATCTTGGGACTGAATCGGAGGCTGATGATGCATCATACCGTTCTGTTGCGCCAAGAGAGACTGTTGTTGCCGATGAAGCTTCTGAAGAAGTTGAAGCTGAATCTGATTATCCGTCATATGTAGCTGCTGACTTAAATGATCCAGCGACTGCGCCGACATTACATTCGCCTGCTGCTGCTGCAGCGGCTGAGAAAGATTTCTCTGAAGCTGATGGTTTAAAAGAGTCTGCGGCTGCGGCAGAATCTGAGGCGGAGCTTGGCTTGTCGGCAATGTCTGGCCGACCATATTTTGTCTCGGAGGTTGGGAAATGTCTACCATCTGTTGCTGCGGCTGGATCATCGACCCTAGAGGGTTGACGGTGGAGGTAGGCAGCTTCGGAAGCTGATCCATCTGTTGTGCCGGAAGAACCGGCCTCTGCGCGTTGAACTGTACGCTGTTTTGCTGCGAGATCTGAGCTCCGGGGAGCGCTAGCTGTCGCGAGATATCTGTCCCTGTGAGATTCTGAAGAACCGAACCAGGCAACGGGTTGATATAATTCGGCTGCATTGGCATGGAGTTCTGCTGCATGTTCGACCACTGGACGAGGCTCATGCCCGGCATTGATTGGGGATCTTTTATGCCGAACTCGTCGCCGAGCCATGGCATTGTCCACCTGTACAGGTTGTCCAGATCAGAAGATTCATCATCTGCACAGAAAAGGATGAAACGTATTTCAGAGGGTTTCGATTCTGGCGATAGGGTGTTCTTATATTATCGATTTGTTTTTTACCTGGCATTCCAGGTTGCCGAGGGCGCTTCGCGCGGAAGAAAGGCTGCGAGGGGCAGATGAAAAATGGAGCTGTTACAGGTTCTATCTCCCAGATCGACACGCGGTTGCGCCTTTCACCGGCAGCGGACTCGTCCCAACCGACCTGCTCGTGAAGAACAGATAATGAAGGTATGTGTTCATTCGATCGCATGAAATAAAACTTGGCGATTGTTCGTTGATAGTACCTGCAAGTTCCGCCACTGCGAGTTCTTCCATCGGATCGGATCCAGGTCTGTGATGCCAGTGATCGTCCCCATGTATCTGTCGAATGTATCGTACCGCCGGGTGAGTTATACACAGAAATGAATTAATTCATCTACTTAAACGTGCAACGAAGAACTACCTTCTTGTGCCGGATTCTTCAGTTTCAAACATCATCCGGAAGCGCATGCCGAGAGATATTTGGTTTCTGCAGGCGGCTTTGTAGTACTTTGCTAGCGGGATGACGAATTCCGACGGGCTAGCCCTGCTCAAATCGTATGTATGAATCAGATGATCAGAACCTACAGCGAGGCAAAGTTTCGAATCGTGGAACTGATTGAAAATTGATTCGAAGACCTGACCTTGGATTGTAGAACACGGTGAAAGGGCTGTTGTTTGCGGCAGCATGCGCAGCTGCGGCAAGAATTCCGATGTGCATGCTGTCGCTTGACAGGACCGATGACGACAGATTGGACGGCTGCCTGTTTGCCCGCCTGATGCCCAAAAGCAACTGTTGCTTTTCATCCCTGCTCGGTTCGATGCGTAGCTCGTCAACAACCAGTTTTATTCGATTCTTCGGATAAGAAGATATTGAACCAGTATTCGATTGCAGAATTATTTATTTACCTGATGAACAAGACTGAATCGCCGGCAACCAAACGCTTGCCACTGACAAAGAGGCTCCACCCGGTCGTGAGCAAGTGACGCTTAGGTTGTCCTGAATCGCAGTCGTATAATTTTCAGAAACACGGAAAAGAAGAGTATTGTTTACAGTATTTAATGTGAAGGTTCCAGACGAAATTCACCTCGGTAAATATGGCGAAAAGTCCACACATTGTCGTGCAAATCCCGAGCTACGAGTTCTTGGGCAGGTGGTTGCATGGTGAAGTCCTGAAACATCTACAGGACATTAGAAATTTCACGAATTACGCAACGAGGCGAAAAACCATTCGAAAAGCTCACCAAAGGCGGGAATATTTTCTCTGCTGCACGACGCGGCACAGAGAAGCCCCCGTGAGTGCTCGTATCACTCGCCGTCAGGGTTTTGCAGAAAAACTCGGTTTGAGGCTTGTTCACCTTCATTGATAGATCTGATCTCAACAGTGCATCCTTGTCAAACTGCAAATGAAAACCCAAAGACATTAAAGCATTGTTAAATAAACAACGAGCATCTTCAAGAAATGGTGTGTTAAAAAGGCGGGAATGCCTACCGAAGGCACTGGCTGGAGCGTCATCTGAGCGTATACTTCATCCGTCTCGGGATCAGCCTAAAACATTCTAAAATAATTACTACAGATTGCAGAATTGAGATTATGTTAATCACATAGACACGGCACCAAGCATCGTACATGCAGAGTGACACTATGGAGGATGCACAGAATTTTGGAAGGAAGATTCGGGTAGTTCGGTATTTGAGCATCCATATCCTTTTTCATCGACGCAGCAACCTGAGAATCAAATAGCTCAATGCTATGAGGATGGAGGACAAGTGAAAAAACCAAACTCTCTGAAACCAAAAATCGCACATTTGCAGGTTCTTGAAGTATTCAAGGAAATGGTTCGCCTACGATTCTGAAGCTACAACAGACTATGAACAGATTTTTTCCACAATTGCCTATAACTGCTCAGATCAATCACAAACTCCATGTTTGTATCAGTAAGTTTCGCTATCAGATCATTCGCTAAATCACTTTCAGCTACTGTTGAATTTAATTATTGGTAACATTTTTAGATGCTCCAAAATGCATCCATGGCGGAAAGATGAAAGTTTATTTTAGTATTGTCTGTTTTCCGCAAGAAGATGAATTGTATTAACCTGCAAAATATCTTATTCTCACTCCCATACCCTATTAGTTTATTCCATCTCCCAACCAACTCACAGCTCACAGCAGCAAGGATTGTTCGATTATGGTGATTAAAAAACAGTTATGGTATCTCAACATGTGACAGAAATTTACGTCTGCAGAAAGTCAGCCATTAACATAGAGGAGGGGGTGGATATGGCGACGGTTAAGGAGACGGCGCACGATAGCAAATGGATGAATATTGTTAGCTGATTTATGGAGATTAACTGACCTGCTCACTGTGTCCTTGCGGAAAGTAGACGACGTGAGTCCCCGCCGCAGGCAGGTTCACCAGCGGACCCGCGCAGGCCTGCCATAGCTCCTCATTTATGCTCTTCTTCTGATCGCCTGCAATTCGTCAGTCAAAGCGAAAATTTCTCAGATGTTTTGCTAAGAACCAGAGCAGAAATCAGATAACAAGCTCGGACGAAATCAGAGAGATCTCCTTTTTCAATTTGGGGGAAAATTCTAGGTTTTCGATTTATCGATTCGTTAATGGAGAAATCAAATCATTTAAGCACGAATCTCGTTGCGGATACAGAAAGGAAGGAAACGAGAGCGACCTTCCGCTGCCGACGCCGTCGCCGGCGAAGCTCCGGTCGGCATCTTCATCTTCTGCACCTCACAAATCCTCCGCCGCCTTCGGTAGCTCCTCCTTCCTTCAATTAGTAAACCAAAACCAAATCCAAAACCGCAACCGCAACCGCCTGTCGGCGACGAACTCTCATCGCGAGGCTCAACAAATCTTCAGAGATCAGTAACAGAAACCTAACAACCACACACACACAAACCATGTTTATTGCTCCTCCAAACCAATTCGTATTTCCAGAAAACCTAATATAACAAATAAATAACAAAAAGTAGCAAACCTTTTCCGGTGAGGCGGCGCCGGTGGAGATTGATTCTCCGGCGAGGAGATAGAGAGAGAAAGGGGAAGGAGACAAGGCGAGGTTGGGAAAAGGAGGGGATGTTGAGGGTAGCAGAGACCAAATGCTGCAGTATTGCCTTTAATTGCCCCCTTTCTCACACTACACCTTCCAGACACTCACACACACATATACATACATACATACGCTGTATCTATATGTGTAAGTATATCCGTATATACTGCTTTCAGTGGTTCTTCCCCAGGCCCCTTTTGCAGGCACCAATTTTCTCTCTCTCTCTCTAACTTTCTCTCTCTCTCTGTCACAGTCTCTTTCTGCTCAAAGTTGTTTTCTTTACTGCTTTGCTGCTGCCTCTATGTATACAATTAATTATTAAATTTACAAATTACTACTACAATGGAGTTTGTATGTATCTGTATATATATATTTATATATATGTTTCTTTGTCTCTCTCTCTCTCTCTCTTGGTCCGCCATGTTCTTGTTTGTTCTTCTTCTCGCTTTCTTTTTTTTATTTTTTTATTTTTTATTTTTTATTTCTCTCTATCAGTCTGAGTTTAGGAGAGAGAGAGTACTAGGAGGAGAGGGATTGGTGGTTTGACTGCGGCCGCGCACCGTTGACCGGTAAAAATTTGAGTTGACTTCATAATTGTTACAGCCCACTACGAAACTCCGTACCTTATTAATTACTGCCTTTACTGTTTAAGGCACTTATTATTAAGATAGTGTTTGGTTGTTGGTTGAAAGTTAGATTATATTGCCACACCATCTTAATTAAATGTATTTTTTTATTTTTTATAATAAATTAAAATTTTTAAAGTGTTTTATTAGTGACTAGAAATATATGAATTGGTGTTAAATATTAATTATTTTTAATATAATATAAAAAAAAAAAATTAATGAAACATACAAAAATGAAGAGCATTCCTTAAATATTATGTCAATTTTTTTTAATTGTCAGTTAAATTTATATGCATATGCATATAGTAAAAAATAACATTATATATTTCTATTTTATACGATGTATACCGCTGTTGAACATGAATCTAAAAACACTTAAACATGAAAGAAAACTTTGTTAGAAATACAAACAAAAAGAAACTTTTAAATCCACAGCAGACCAGAGCCCTCTAAAAGTGAATCATTTTAGTCTGTTGTCCTGACGTTGAAGTCTCCTAGTCTATAGAGCCGCCTAAATTTGTAAAAGTCAAAGATGATTAAGGTACATGAGACATGGGAGAAACAGTTAGATTCATGTCCAAAATTGCTTGGAGAAAGTAGTTGAAGGAATAACTACTCACTTTCTAAAATTTATATGTTTGTCATTTATATTCTTAAGGTTATATTTAGTAAAATCCACACAACAATACAACGATCTGATACAAACTTACATGATATCCTTTCAATTTTCTAGTAGCTTATCCATAGATTCTTAGTTTTATCCAATTATGTTTTAATTTTTATTGTTTTTTTGTTAATTTCAGCATAGTTTATGTTAATTTACGTTTTCGTACTTGTTATATCTGAATTTCAATAGATTTTAGTCAAATTCTTCAAATTCAGCCGTTAAAGCTTAAAGTAGTCCAGCGGCTCCACCGTCGGAGCCACTTCCCAATCCGACGACGAACAGACTTTAATTTATAGAGTGCTTTCGAAACTCACAACGCTTGATTTAAGACACATCATATTCAAAAAGGGCTCAAAGCCCCTTTCAAAAACATCTATGTTTAAACCACACGAAAATTTATTTTTCGGAACCAACAAATGTATAATAAAATATTATACTACCTTCGTCAACCATCAATCTATCAATTTACTTTTTGCATGTTAATCTTTGAATATTAATTATTATATTAAAACGTAGTAAAAATCAAGAAAAAACGACAAAAATATTTCTATCGGTATCTTATAATACTAATGTAATGAAATTTGTACAAAAAATTATACAAATATAAGGATATTTTTAATGTTAAAATCAACGACACCAAATGCAAATGGATAAATTGGCGGTGGACGGAGGCAATATATTATTTATAATATAAGATATGTTGTATTATAAATATATTGTGATATGTTTAATATATATATATATATATATGTTAAATCAACATTATATTGTTATACTGATGTGATCCTATCAACATGAGATATATGCATATAGTAAAATTATTCATTCATTCACAATTTTATTACATATATAACAACAATTTTGTCATTAATTTTTACTACTTATCCTACAAATATTTTATCAACTAATTAAGAAATTTCTATAATACATCAATTTTATTACCTACCACACTTTAATATTATCATATTATTTCATTCGTCCAATTTATAAGTATATATTAATTTTGGGCATAGTTTAGAAAATAATAATATTTTAATTATAGCGAATAGTTATAAATAATGTAAATATAATTTTTCTATTGTATTTTAATAAAAGTAATTATGTGATGGTAATATAAAAATATTTTAGAAAAAAATGGGCCAATAGTTACTAAAAAAAATTATTTTGTAATTGGATAACTAAAATAGAAATATACATATTTTATGAGTGGTGAAGAGAGTATTATTTTATAATCTTCGTGTCCAATCAAAATTATATGGGTATGTTTGTTTGAATGCTTTTTTTTTTTTTTTTTATTTCTTCTAATCATTTTTTTTAACAAAAAATATCAAATCAAAATATCAATTTTTTATTTTTTATATTATATTAAAAAATTAATTTTATATTCAAATATTGTATCAATTCCTATATATCACATTAAACAAATATTCTAATTTAAAATTTTATTATTCAAATCAAAACCACAAACAAACTCACCCGTAATTTTCCCCAAAGAAGTATATAATATTTGTGATGAATTTTGGGCCATATGATTTACTGAGGTCCAATACACACAATCTCGACCCGTCCAAATTGAAGTTTGGATTATGTAACCCGCGACCGGACTCAGTTTAAGTGAGGTACATCAATGGCCGTTCGATTAGGGGTTTTAATATCACCTTTTGGATCTACTTACCGGTTTTGATCTATTATATACTCATGTTTTGAACCGGCTCAAGATTATATCATTACGCGATACACATTATTTCTACTCTAAAAGCCCTAACCTCTCTTGACGCGATTCCGACGATTGCGCCTTCATTTTCCAATGATTTGTTCGTCGAGTTGGGATTCTCCTTCCCCTTTAATGCGCGACTTGATCCTTGAAGGTTCTATGGTTTAATTATTCGATTTATGTCTTTTTTGTGTGTTTGCAGTTTGTGAGGTTTAAATTTGGCGATGTTTCTTTAGGTCCGGGTTCGGATTTGTATGTATGTTATGTTTTCGAGGAGTGTCATTTGTGATTTAGATCTTAAATGTGTGTTCTTTGATGGTTCTGATGAAAATTGGGTAAATTGAGTTCCAACGATTGCTACCATGATCAAAAAGGGTGTGTTTGTTTGGGAGTTTGGATTTTGAGTTGGGATTTGAATAGTAAAAATTTTGAATTTGAATAGTTGTATGATCTGATGTTTTAAATGTAAAATTAATTTTTAATATAATATAAAAAATGAAAAATAGGTGTTTGATTTTATATTTTTGGGGGAAAAAAATTGGATGAATAGGATATTTAAATTTCAATCTCCCAAACAAACACACCGTAAATTTTCATTAGATGTTGATTGTTCAAAATTGAGCTGTCGACCCTTATTTTAAAATTACAATCTACTGTTATCTAAAATTATTTTTAAAATTGAGAAAAAAAATGTCAATATACAGTTTGAGTTTAATTATGGTTAATTAACATATGATAATAATTTATATGTTATATTTCCTTATGTTTATTTATAAGTATATATTTTGCTATTTTTTTATTATTTAAATACTTTTTTTTTTTTTTTTTATGTATGTATAGACCTCGCTGTATATTACAAATACTTTAACATTTATATTTATTTACATCAAATTCTCACATTAATTTTACACATTGTAGGAATAAAATAATTTTTATATACTAAAACTACAACTAACTATTACTAAAATATTGTATTTATTAATCTCACTATAATATTATACTCCCTCCGTCAATTTAAATTGTATTTAAGAAATAATAATATTTTAATTATAATGAGTAGTTAAAAGTAGTGTAATGATATTTTTGCCCTTCCTTTTTTGTGTAAAAGTAATAATGTGATGTAAAGTAAGGGTATTTATGGAAAAAAGTTGAGTATTTAATGAAATGTAAACTTTGTAATTGGACATCCCAGAATAAAAACATGTAAACTTTGTAAGCGTACGGATGGAGTATATGTTAATATAATACAAATATATAGTACAAATTAATAATACATCGATTTTAGGAGTATAAAATATATGACATAACACAAATATACAGAGTTTGTTTGGTTATAATTTAAAATGAAATATTGATTTAAATTTTATTTAAATCGTATTATTAAAATATTTATTTTAAAAAATATTACACAAACAAACCTATATATAGACTTAGTTTATATATATATATGTCTAAAAAATGTTAGACAGTAAGGTTACATATATATATAATCATGTTGTGAGAAATAGGATTATGAGCAATGATAATGCAAAATAAGTGCAATTATATTAATCATCTTTTGTTGCAATCGAGACTAATCCCTAATTTATTTATTTTTTAAAAATATATTTATATATATATATATGTAAATGACATAATAATCTTTTTTTATTTAATCAAATATTTGGAGGGTCATTCTCGTAATTTTCCCTACGACAATAGGTTGGTTTGGTTAGAAACAAGTCACTGTTCACATGCGTACCTCATAAAAAGTGTCTTTTTTTGTAAATTAATACTCGTTCGTTTCGGAACTAAATATCCATTTGCTTTTTACACATAATTTTAGAAATATTAGTATTATATTGGAATATAGTATGAATAATGTAGAAATGACTAAAATAACCTTATTAGTATGTGTGATATATAGGTAATGACATTTGTGTAATATATTATAAATTGTAAGAGTATTTGTAATGTTAGGTAGATAGTACAATTACTAAAAAACGAAAATAAATACTTTGTTATGGGACGGACTAAAATGAAAAAATGAATACTTTGTTATGGGATTGAGGGAATACTTTTATCCCATATCAGTCTATGCGGTTTATTAGTGATGATCCGTGGCACTGTATTTAAAAAAATAATAATATAATTTAATAAGTTAATAATATTAAATTAAAATATTATTTTTTATGTAAATGGTAATATTAATTTTTTAAAATAAAAATTATATTATTAAAAAATTAGAATATATATTTAGATATTTTAAACAATACCATTTCAATATTTATATATCATTTTATAGTTAATAA